AATGAGAAAGAAGAGCAAATTTAAACAAGAGAATTTATTGTTTGTGAATTCAGCAATATGCTTAGTAAAATGCAATAGTATTTTAACAAAATTGAAAGAATTTTAGTGTGAAAATTTTCTCGTACACTCAAGCGATTTAATAACTAAAGTTCCTTGAAAAAATGAGTCACGTGTAGAAACATAATACAGACAATATTCAAAGGAATACTTCCGAAGAATTTCGGAGATTAGGAAATATGAATCATCTGGTATATGCCAAAACCATTCACATTCCTTTAAAAAAGTTATGAAATCATTACTCTTATGCACATGTTTATCCAAATGTCATATGTTTAAAGCATTTTGTAAAGTGTTCAGTGTCTGACGTTAATGCATTTTGTTAAACCTGAGAAGTAAATCTGTGCATCTTCGCGACTTAATGTGATATTTTAACCTCGTTTAATAACTTGCTTAAGTTAATGAATGTACAATATCATCGTATTCAATTTGTACAATCGTATGAAATCACATGATTAACTTATAGCATCCTTGAAGCTAATCAAGCAGATGTAAATTATTATCAAGAATTGTTTTGATTTTTTAATAGTTTAGCACGTGGAGTTTTATTTGTTTTTGACAAAATCATGTTCAGTCTTTTGAAAATAAAATTTATCTTTGTAATAAAACGTATCGCTACATTTCTTTAGTATTTGTAACCCATTTCTCGAATAATATCATAAAACTACGATTTTTACCTAAAAATATTTCCGAAAATCCTTAACAAGACAGTAATAAATTTCAATTTCAATTTGTGTCTATTTGCGTTAGACAAATATCAATTTTTAAAAGAATTCGAATCAAATAACAAATACTGAAATGCTTTTTATAAAGAAAAACTGATGGCGCGATGAATTAAGATGAAGTGTTTTTAGGAAAACAAATATCGGAGTAAAAATTGAAATTTCAGTAAAAAAAGAAAGAATTTTCTGATTGCGACAGCATCTTAATTTATCAAACGATGAGAAGTGGAAGAAAAAAGAGAAACAGAGACAGAAATAGAATGAGAAAACAAAAACGTGGGTGCCATTTCAGATATTTAGACCTTTAGCGAGATGAAATTCTTTTTAATATATTTGTTTGTTCTCTTCTAACTCTTCCAACATACATATGTACTTGATATGTTTCGATTGCACCTTTTGAGTCGTAAATATAAATATTTTTTTAATATTTTCCTGCGCTTAATAGTAATATGTTCGTTCTTCTTTTTTCAATTCGGCCTCTGTTTTTATGCCTGGAATGTTGATAAGAATAAAGGCACGGAGCGATGTAGAAAAATAGCATGATAAAAGTGAGTCGCACTTATGACAATATACACACACGTGCTACAATTACTAATGAAATTTGTTTATTCAATGAAAATATTCTGACAATTACAGTCAGATCTGACTTGCGTAATATTTTCTTTCTACGTATTTAAGATAAATAAATCTCAAAATATGCCATCATGTATTTTTAAAGTAAACTTCAGGCAAACTAAGAAATAAAGAACTATCGAAGCTCAAAAATTGAAAGTAATGGAAGTACATTTATCCAGATTTTACTATTGGCAAAAACACAGAACTTTCTTCTTCTTTTTCATCGTTTAATTCATAAAGCAGAAAGAACCACTGAAAAAGACGTGAATCATTCTTCTTCTGAAATGGACTGAGACCAATAAACAGACAAAAGAATAATGGAAATCCTATAATTTTATAGTTTTTTCCGTTTTTTCGACGAATTAACAGTAAAACTTGTATTAGTGAAATTATAAACAGTGTGCAAAAAGTGAATCAAGTCATTTAATAGCTGCGTTTAAGATTCTATGATATTCTATGAAGCCGAAAAATCGAAACACTACAAGGAGATGGGGAGGGATTGGTATTAAATTGCACAACAATGATGTAATGTTGGACATCAAAGACGAAGAATTTTTTTGTTTTGTTTCAAGCTATTTAGTTTTCGTGTTAAAAATGGTTTTGCTTGCTAGTAGTGTTTAATCTGAGAGAATAAATAAAAATTATAGGTTTTCACAGCGTCAATTTTTACTCGATAGTCTTTTTTGATTCTATTAGAATAATAATAGAAAATTAAATGTTTTTTCTCTAGTAATGTTCCCTAAGTATAGTATTTAACAGAATTTGAATTGACAAAATTTTAATGAAATTAATACAAATCGTAGATTAAATGTGTGGTAAACATATAAATCAACATCATTATCCATCACAAAAATGTAAACAAAGCAATAAGAAGTTAAAAAGAAGAACAAGTTTTTCGAAAAAAAATAGAACAAAAAAAACACATTCAACTGAAAACTCGAAAGTGAATGAAAGTGCTTCTTGCCAAAATATTGAAACAAGAAGAAAAACAACATAAAAAACATAAAAAAAATGAAACAAAATGAACGGAAAAATTTTTATCGTATATGACGTCATAGTTAAAAGAATAAGAGAGAAATGAAAAAATTTTATGAAGGAAAAAGGAAATTTTTCCGAAAAATAAAAATAAAGAAGTTGAAGAGCGAAAATAAGAGAATAAAGTTGATTCAAAGAGAGATTAAAATTATAAAGAGAGAAATAGAGAATTTGTGAGAAAGTCAATTACTGTCGATATTTGTGTTGCATTACATTTTACATAGCTCCACGAACACATTTACTGTAGTCAATGTATCTTACATTTACATTTTCTTTTAATGTACATAAATATGAGGATACTTTCGTATAAAATTTTACGTATGTATGCTCCTGTGAGAGAGTTTGTTCTTTACACAATATTCGTTTATATTTTTTTTCCTTCCAACTTTTTTTCTTCCTCCCATTTTTCATTCCCTCAGTTCATTTCAAAACTTTGAGCTAAACTGTAGCCTTCAATTAAGATAGAAAAAAAAGAGAAAATTATATACATCATATAAATTAAAAAAAATATATATATAGCAAGAAGAGTAAAAAGACTTTACAAAAATTTCTTTTTCCCTTCGTTAATAAAACATTTTTTTTTTTGGAGAAGTGAATTTTTTTCACAAGATATACAAGAATTGCACATTTTTATACGTAAAAGAGAGCTACAAAAAAAAAACTTTTTGCACTAAAGAAGTAATAAGAAATAAGAGAAAAAAAACCATTTTTATTTTAGTGATTTTTTTTTTGTGAATGCATAATTTAATTAGGATGAAGAAAAAATATGTTATCGAATGAAAGAAGGAGAGAATGAGAAGTTGAATAAAAGTGTATTTGTTTGGAAAGATTATAAAGAAAAGAAAAAGTGAATTCGGGATTCTTAAGGCAGTGTTCAATACATTTTAATACCTTACCGGTTACATAATTATCATTTAATGAATCTAAATTGAGCTCTGTGTACGAATGAGCGAAAATACAATAAAAACTTTAATTACGTTTCGTAAATTAGAATAGTCGACAAATCGCTATTTAAATCAGATGTGCATATAGAACGACGTCATATATACAAATTCTAAAATATATACATATCGTTTGTTTATACACGAGTTTAAGTGTTGCACGTATAAAACAAATTATTGAAATTGCCTGTTTGTCCAATTGTCTTTACGTCATTAATATTTTTTTATTGTGTGTTATCAACAATGTTCATTCAATATTATTCTTGCTCTTTGCTACTTTGGATCATCATTCAATTCTGATTTAAGATTTTTTTTTGCCTAGAAAAACAAGAAGCTAAGATGTATAGAAACGAAATAAATTAAGATAATTGACTTCAATTTATATCTTCTGAACATAACCAAATATAAATCAAGTATAGCACATACAGTATATGTCAAATAGGGGAAGTGAAGAAACAATAAAAAAAATTGAATGCTTTGCAAGTGATTATTACTAGCACAAAATAAGAAAAAATAGTGGTCAAGAACTTTGACATTTATGTTGAAGTGCTCAAATGACAATTTAAAAAAGAACCTTTCTGAAATTTTAAATTCATTCAAATACTGCGGTCATGCCAATCGCACATAAAATTTTGTATAAATATGAATAATACATTTGATGTTGGAAACAATCATGTATCACATGCTAATTGCCCAAAAATTATCCCGGTTAAAATGATGATGAAATTCTGATAATATTCTATTAGTGCTCTGCTTACTATAAACTTAAACTTCATTCCTCATTTCATTTATTTTGAATTAGTTTTGATAAGGAAATGCCAACAAAGTACAAATAAAACGTAAATGGAAATGAATGAGAGAGTGTTATGTTATTCATTTCTGTTTAAAAAATAGTATTATCAACGATAATGATAATTTTAGATATGATGGAAAGTTCAGGAATTTCGCGAAATTCGTTAAGAAATTGTTGTTGCTGGCACGTTTTTTTTCTTTTCTTCCATATTTGTATTCTTTAATACTCTATGAGAGTTGAGTGAGTAGAAAAGGAAAAAGTAAAACATGAACCAAATTATTTTTCGACTTCAGTCTATAGAAATGCTTATTTCGTGTAACAAAAAAAGTAAAAGGGAAGAAAAAAATCAAATAACGCTTAAAACCTAAAATAATTGACGAATTGTACAAGACGTAAAAGCAAAATAAGAAGAGTTAAGAATGAGAAATGAAGAAAAAATTGATGATGTTGGTGATGGTATAACAGTAGTCTTGCAAAAAAAAAAATAAGAGAGATAAAGGCCCAAACTAAAATAAATTGCAATTTTATATGTTTAATGAGTGAAATAGTGAATATCTAAAAAGGATTAATAAAATAATGAAATTTTCGCGTGACTTTTTTCTCCTTCTTTCATTTTGATAATAAAGTGTTTGAAAAATTTTTGTGACAAAACAACAATAAAATCTTCATAAGTTCGATTTGTTTTCCTTTTATTTGTGCTATTAGAACCAACTGTTTTAATAGTTCATAAAAGGAATAATAAAAAAAAATTAATGAAGAAATGTTCGAAAATTTTTAAAAAAATATGCAATAAATTAAAATTTTTGTGAAATGGAAATTTTTTCTTCGTCCTTATAGTGGAATAGAAAATGAGTTTGAAATATATTCGTGTGCTCAACTTGAGGCACAGCAAGAGTTGTCGAAAGCTATTGAAAATCTAAGCGGAACATCAAAATCATCTGAAACACATGACATTAAAGTGATTAAAAAAGACAATATTGTGCTTGGCATAAATGATTTGAAACAACAAAAGCAGAGGAAATCATCTGCTGATTCGAAAAATTTCGGTGGAAATAATAAAAGTGCTGCGAAATTAATAGTTGCTGACAAAAAGGAAGATAATAATAATAATAATAATCATAACAGTGAACAATCTGTGGTTGCAATCAATCCAATTAATACAATTAAAGTAAATAATTGTGAAATAATAAATCGTCCACGTTCTGTCACAGCTTCAATTTTTTCCCATCCAACAATTTTAACACCAAAAATTACCATAACAAAAAGTTCAGAAAGGAAAGTATCGATTAAAACTTCGGCTAAGAGATCAATCGGAGGTCCTCCTTTGAAAATATTTCGTCCTTCTACATTGCAAAACGCAACTAGCGTTACATCAACAATCTTTGCACCACGTACTAAGGACATGAATAAAGGATACTTGATGTTTTCAGAAGACGATACTGGATTAACAAGTAAGTATTTAAACTCCCAATAATCATTTATTTTTATTTTAAAAATAAGAAGATGCAATCGAGCAATTGGTGATGTGATTGCTTTAAAAGTTACTTTTTCAAACTTCTAATTTCCTCCATCGAAAACATTGTAAAAGACAACAAAAAGATATTCGCAACCCATAAATAAATAAAAGGCTGTATGTGAATAACTAGAAAAATCGTGAACTTTTGCCAAAAAAGTGTAAACTTAAACCGAATATTGATGATTTCATTAGCTGTCTTTTGAAGTCAAAGACGTTTTCTTATTCATCAACTTGTAATCTCGTCGATTTTAGTTAAAATTAATGAGAGAATTTGACTATCTGTTGATGAGTTCTTTTTTGCATTCTCTTCTTCTTGTTACGTCGGTACTGCTCGGCAGGTGTTTAATACAAAAGAAAATTATTTTCACACATCAATCGTCGCTGTATCTAGTACTTCCAATTATTCTCAAGTGAAATTTAAACATTAATAAATAAATAGAATAAGTCAAATATTTTTATAGAAAAGTTAAAAATTTAAAAATATAAAAAAATATAAAAACATATTAAATCCACACTAAGTCACATGCTCTTATAAAAAAAAAAAATTTTTCTCTTCTCTTGCGGTTTTATATTCATTTATTCATGTAATTTATTTATATATCTCTACAATATTGCGCCCACAAGTACATACGAAGTATTTACATTCATATTGAAAGAATAAAATTGACGAAGTATGCAAAATAATCTCAGAGCGTTCACAACAATAATGTCGCGTGATGTAAACTATATGTTTTGTCTAATTTAAATAAAATTCAATTGGTTTTAAATTGCCAAAAAAAAAAAATTGTAAACAACTTTAAACCTCCTCTTGTGTTTTGTCTCCCAAAATATAAATGTTTGTAGTAATCGAGGACAGATCATAATCCATTTAATAATTTATGATAACCAAGTGCACGATGATAACAGGAGTGTCAAAAACGTGTGAAATGAATAAATTCGCTGATTATATTACTTTTATTGTGTTTTGCTTGCGTTCTTTCTCATATATTTGTCACAGTCGATTACATAAAAAAAATTGTTTCTTTAAAACAAGTAAGAAAGTAGTCGCGAAAGAAATAATGAAGCGTTCTGTTGTCAATTGAATTCTGAATTTCATTTTTATCAAAAGAAAAGGTATAAATTTTAATTAATTAATATTTCGTATCTTAGTGCAAAATGCTCGTGGAAAAGTTTTAAACTGTTAAAGACTCATCGCATTATCATGTTTTAAGTGATAAAAGTTTAACCAAACAGACAGTCCAATATGTTTACTTTGGCATATATGCAGATAAAAAGCATTTTAAATGACTTTGTATGTCTGTAAATATTTTTTTTACTTGATTTACTGAATTGCATTTTATTCGTGAAATGAAAATAATTGCGAGAAATTATATCAGAAATAATAAAATTTTCTTCTCAAAGGGAAAAATATGGTTTTGTTTTCCTCGTCTCTGTCTTGTTAAATTCATTTTTTCTCCAATTCATATGAAAACAAATGTTGTTTAAATATAGAAATAACAGAGAAAAACAGTCATGGGCTTTGGAAACAAGTTACCATAGTATTGTTTGGATATTTATAACCGAAAATACCACTTTTATGTGCATTGAACCATAAAGAAAGAATATGAATAATTGTGTAGAGAATCCGAAAACACGAATGCCAATTTTTAAACTGTCTACATGAAAAAATCTAGCAAAGACCTTTTTTTTGTTGCAAAAATTAGCGGATATGTGTGATTTTAATAGAGACTGTAACAGTTGAATAAAATGTAATTAAATGAACATTCTTTGTCACCATTTCCTTATTTTCGCACAACAAGTGAAATTAATGGTGACGAATTATTTTTCAGGGTCAAAATATATAACTGCAATTAAAATCACTTATTTGACGATGATAATACTAATATTCATGAGTTTATTTTTGGCAAACTTTCATCGCGTCAAAACAAGACAGCAAGAAAAAAGAGGAAAAAAATCTTGAACTTCAAGTGGAGCAGCTGTTTTCTACTGCTCGCCATTATTTAATGTTTTTTATTTGAGGAAATTAGAAGATATATTTAGCATGTTATTTGCAACCTTCTTCAAACGTTTGCTTGCATCAATTATGAATAATTATCTTTACATAGAAAAATAAATTTAATCGCTTAACTTTTTTACTTTCATTCCAGTGTTGAAAGATGAACCTGACGATTTAACACATTTGGCACCAACAGCTGGAGATTCTTGCATTTCACTAGATGAATCAGCTCCATTTTTTGATATGTTTGATGATTTTATTATACCCGACAATTATAATGCATTATTGACAGATGAATTAAACTCATTGGACAGTCAGTGCAGTAAAACGACGTCGAGTAGTAGTTGTAGCAATGATCCATTTATAAACTATCGGGATGAGTCCAGCGATATGAGCAATTCACCTCACTTATTATCGCCAGGATTGTCAAAGGTAATTATAAATGATCCAAAGGTAGTTATTTGAGGGAAATGAATGAGGATACTCTGGTCATTGACCGAGAAAACATTTTCTTCTTTTCAAAATGTTAATGCACTTTCATGTTGTTTTTCTATTCGACATATTTTTAATGAATAAAGATGAAAAAAAGAACTCAGTCAAGTCGGAAAAATCTTATGAGAAACAAGATCCGTCAACAAAACCATCACAAAGTGAGAAAATGTCTTTTTTTGTGGATTTTTTTTCCTTTTTTTACATTTTTGATTACATAACGAGTACTTTTCACGCTTAAAAATAAAAAAAAATAGACGAAAAAAATGTGTGGAAACTTCGAGACATTTTATTATTTTCTGAAAAGAAAATTATCTCGAAGTGTATCAGAAGAAGAAAATTTTTTTTGTGTATCTCATATCCGATATTTTTGTGTTGGTAATAAAAAGATTGATCTGTTTAAATAGAAAAATAAAAATGTTTAGAAGCTAAAGATAGCTAATATCATCCAGAGGTTTTTTATTGGTAAAAATATTAGCTCGTTGCATTTGATTCTCTTTGGAGTGTCAAAAAAAAATTAATTAAATAATGCGTAAAACTTTTACCAATAAAGACCTCAGAAAAATGATGAGAAAGATGCAGATCTGTTTACTTTAATTTCAGTACTATCAAACAGATTTTATAAATTTTATAATAAAAAACAAAGAATATCTTTATACATCCAAAAATAAAAATTTCTTTTTTCCACTTCTTGTCTTCACTATGACATAAAATTACTTTTGCTCATACGACAAACTAAAAATAAAATATAAAACAGAAAGAAAAATAATAAAAATGTTTTCGTGGTGAGCACGTGCATTAAAAATTCGATTCTGATGCTACTTTCACAATCAATTAACGGCTCCCTAATTACAGATGGCCACGTTTCAAAAACAACGCATAATTTTATTTATTGCAAGCTCGTGTGAAGTTTATCGTTTAGACTATTTAACGAAAAAATGTATTAACTTGTTGGCTGGTATTTTCGTAACCAAATTATGGAATTAGATGCAAACATTTTTTTATCTTTACTATACTACGAATGTACATGTTTATATGTTTCAGGTTTTAAAGGTTTAAACCCCTTAATTTTAAGCAAATCAATAAGATTTTCCTTCTATTTTCGAATACCTTTTAATATAGAGTTTCGTGACTATGTAAAGTTTACACTATTAACACTAGAGTCTTCAGTTTGTCATAATTATTACGATTGCAAAAGCGATAGTAAATGCATGTGAAGTCTTACTTATTAGCACATACGTGTGAATTTATAAGTTCATACACTCCTTATCAACAAATGTGGATGTAAACATATGAAATAATTTATTAATAATATATCAAATGCACAACTATTCCATTTTTTGTTTAAAAATATCATAAATCACTTAAATATTTACTTACTTTTTACATGCGCCGTCAACAAGAAACCACGCATCGCTCTAATGACCGGTTATTAGCACATAAAGTAAAAAATTACACTTTTATTAGCAATTTTTGATGATAAAAAGTTATCATCAGACCATGTTTGGAAACCGTGATCAATGAGTCAACATCGTGCGATTAGCTTCACATGTTCAAAACAAAAAGAATAAAAAATAGAGATAACAACAAAATAGAAACGTGATGTGATAGTGAATTATGTAAAGCATAAAAGTTCAAGATAAATAAAAATTCCTTTTAAAAGAAACATGTTTTAAGAAAAGTAATTTCGTTAACAAGATGATAAAATTTAATTTTCAAAAAACATTTGGTTTTCCACATACCAAGAACATGATAGATTAAAAATAAAAAAAAATATGATTTTAGCTTTCAAACAGAAATTTTTTTCCTCCTTTTTCAATCGGACTAAAGGTTAAATTCTTTTTGTGATGATAAAGTCTTGTAGAGATGATTACTTACCAACTGTCAAGTCATTTGAGAGTTGATGGACATGTGGACGATTGTAAAGTAAAACTAAACGTAAATATTATGTAGGAGGATACAATGCAGAAAAATTTTCCGTTGAGCTCCTTTTCTTGTCTTTAACAGCAAAAAGGAAAATATTTTTAATTCAAATATTAAGTAGGAGCAACAAAAAAGTGAAATTAAAAAATGAGTAGGGATAAAAATACTGTTGAAATAAATTAATTTCATGCTTTAAGAATGAGATTTAAACACACATTTAACATTTTTCATTTACGTTGACATACAATCCACACTAAGATAATTATAAATAATATTATTGTTTCATCACTGACATCCGAATACAAAAATATTTTTTTGAAGACTTCAATCTTATAATAAATTAAATAGGAAAGTAAATTATATAATCAAAAATGAAAGTGCATTACTCAGATCTTACAAAAATCTAAATCTACCCATTATAACAAGTTAATATTTAATTTTAGAGTCCTGATGCTAACAGTATACCGTCACTATGCAGTCCTGGCTCTCTTCCTGAAGATGAGCTTGCATTTATGACACTAAATATGGATGATGATTTGGATATGTCGATGCGTGCCCCATACATTTCGATGAGTGAATCTTCTGAGCTTCCCTTACTAATAGCAGAAGATCTAATGTGGGGTGCACAACCAGATATTAAGGAATCACTAAATATCAAGAAAAATGAAAAGGTAGAAATTCCAATAGTTGTAGAACAGCAGCAGCAAATCATTGAAAGTTCTAATAAAACATCAAATTTAACGTATCAAAATGTAACTGGAAAGAATGCAATGGATTCGAGCTTAGCTTCGTTGCTATGCAGCCAGTTATTACAACAGCAGTTATTAAATCATCAGCAACAGCAAAAACAGTCAGAGGAACAAACACAACATAATACAATTAACAAAAGTCCAGAATTTAAGATCAAAATATTGGACAATTTAATCGACACTAATGACCATTTGGAAGCAGAACGAAATCCTAAAATTGGTTAGTAGAATATTTCTCATGAAAATAAACTTTTTTTTCTTCATTAAGTGACAAAATTAATTATGCGTTTTTTAAATATTTTTAGCATCAAACGTTGAATGGACAATGAATGATCTTTTGCAACTTAAAAAGCAACATCATCATTCAGGAACTAAAATTACGATTGAAAAGTATAGTATCGAAAATACGTCGTCGCATATAAATACATCTGTCAGTAACATAAATCAAATACAATCAGGATTGGAGAATAACTTAGTTAAATTGAAGGAGAAGACAAATCATCATAAACGTCCATCAATATCGTACGAAATCAATTCAAAACGTGTTAAAGGACAGGAAACGATTAAAACCACACCCCAATTATTACAACAATTAATGACGTCAACAGGAATTAATCAAAAAAATAGACAGAAAGTCCAGCAGAATATAAACAATTCCGATGGAGCTTCTTTGAGCTCAAGATGGACATCAAATGCACAATCAAAACCTCATCAACCGGCGTCAAACTCGGTATTAATGAATCTTCTTGTTAGTGGATGTGATGTAAGTGCCGGTTATACGTGCTTACCGCGACCCAAAGTTGCAAAAGCTTAAAAATAACTCAGATTACTCCTTTTTAAACCCCTTCTGATGATTATGATGACGATGATGTTTCCATCATTTTGTTGGTAAAAATGAATCAAACAAAAATGTTCTGTCATTACTACTTAGTTGTTTTTTATCGTAGCTATTCAACAACATATGTTATTACATCGTATAAGTTTTTTTTAAAGAGTATGTTTCAAGCCTCTCATTTATTCGCAATTACTGAAACAATGCCAGATTTTTTATTATAAAAAAGTGGTCGAAAGCAATTAAATCAGTGCTGTCCAAACTGTTTGCCATAGAAATTTTTTGGAAATGACACGAGCCGCATGCTGTGGATGACTTCAATCATCGCTTACTCTTAAGGTGTGCCGTGGCTCACAAAGTTTTGGCAACACTGCTTTAAATGCTCATATGGATAAGAGACTAATATCAAAAAGATTTAGAATTATTTCAAGATTACTTACATTTTGAAATGGAAACATTTCAATAAAAAATTAAGACATTAAAGGCAAACAAAAAATGTAAGAGCTGGAGAAATCATGAAATGCTCTTTTTAGTACACTTGCAACTAGATTTTATGTGTACAGAACTAGCGTTTTCCTGCCAAATCCTAAAAATGGTTTCTGTGGTGTCAAAACTTCGAACTGATAATGTTTTACGGTTTTTGTGCCATTTAAATGAGATGGGGAGAAATTTTAAATCGAAATCTTTTATAATTATTTTTATTGCAAGTTGAATTTAATTAAATTATTTTGTATTAATTGTATAGTTATCTAATATGTAGACGAAAAAAAATATTAAAAGTTTTAGCTTTAGATAAATAATAATGATGAAATAATATAAACATAGAAAGTTTGAGAGACAAAAAAAAGAATAAATATTAATTATCGGATGAGACTTTAGGGTTAAAAAAATTATTAACATTAATTGGGTGCGTCAAAAAATAAATAAAAAATCGAAAAGAAAATTCTAGAGAATATAAAAAATGCGATTATTAGTGTCATTTTTTGATTTTAACTGTGATAGCTGTTGTTTAATGATATAAACATAAAACTACTTTAAAAAACACGAGGCAAAAAGATATTTTCAAGAAAAAAAAAACTTAAAAAATATTGAAGTAAAAAATGAATTATTAAGTTTTATTTTTATTTCCAATTTTTTATCGTTTCTCGATTAACTTAAAAAATTTTTTTTGAGAAATATGAGCCCATTTATGGTACAAAATCGTAAGAAAAATTATCATCGTCAGAAAATTTTAAATAAAATCAACAAAGCGTTACTTTTCTTCCAACATCTCATGAAAAAAATTCTTAAGTTCTTGTATCTCGGAAAAAAATGAAGAAAAAACAGGGTTAAATGGCTGCTTGAAGACGGTTAGCTCAAACAATTTTGAAAACCATCACACCAAAGTTTAAGAAAACACCAAGGATATTCAAACCAATTTTAAATTTAAGAATAGTTTTTAAACTTTAATTTTGAATATTTACTCCTTCTCATCTTACTTTTATACAAATGAATAAAAATATACATGACTTAGGGCTGTTCACTTATTACGTAACGCGAAAAAATGACTTTTTAGACCCCCCCCCCCCCTATGAAAAAAAAATTTCCTTGTTTGAACCGTAACAAAATCTTAGACCCCCCTCCCCCCCTAAAAGCGTTACGTAATAAGTAAATGGCCCCTTATCTTTAATAAAGAATTTTTGAATAATTCACAAAATTTTGCACAAATGATGAAATAATATTAAAGAAATTCAAATAAATTATTGAGGTGTTAACCGCTTCAATCAACTTTAACCCTTATAACTAAACTAAATCGGGCTTTAATTAGAAGAAGAATGAAAAAATTGGAATAAAATGAAATTATTTTGAGAAATGGAAATGAAACGGATATTTCATTTAGAACTGATGGTTAAGTTTTAAGAAATAATACAAATAAATTTAAAGATAATATTAACAAAAATAACTAAGAGCACAATGAGAAATGATCATTTTTTAATGTCGAAGAATATGGAGGAGGTTTAAATCCTCCCAAAAATTTTTGTTTGTTCTTATTATGCTCATTAAATTAATAAAAGCGTTCACATGAAAGTTAAAAATTTGGAAACGAAATATATTAGTTTATTAAAACTTGGACAACTTTAATTGAATTAATCCTGTTCATTTAAGTATTTCAAGTTAAATAGATCAATTGAAAAAACTATCATAAGAGAAAAAATTAAAATTTGGAAGAGTTTAGTCGCTAAAACGTTTGAATAAAGTCTCCAGAATAACATCTATTGTCTCAATAACTCCCACTGCTACTATAAAAATCAGTTAAATTGTCTTTAAATAATGAACAATAAAATTTCATATTATCGGAAGAAATAAATGCAAACAATTCAAAATACATACTAGCCATCGTACATTAACTAAAGCAATTCGATACTTTTTATAGAATAATAATAGGAATTACATTTAAAAAATAATAATTCAAAGCAGAAGAGCACAGACTCAATTTTTGTCTAAAAATTGTAAAAGTAAAACATTAATCAAGGAATTTAATGTCTTGCCAATATTCATTTCAAATTACAGTATAAATTATAGTAATGATGATCATGATAATGATTAAATATTACATTTCGTACGTACATACTTATACACATACCACAAGAAAAAAAGCTTTGAAATTTGATATTTATATTTATTTACTTGAGAATAAATATTATGTGTACACGAAGATACACTTTTTTGTGTACTTTATAAAATCTCCTAAAATCTCAGGTATGCAGGAAATGTATCACATGAAACAAATACCTCTCTCAACCATATATTACAAGAGACAACAAATATTCAGATAACAATTCTAAAATAGAAGAATAAAATAGAAGGACTTTTATATGGTTTTAAATTTTTAATTCTTTTTGACCTCTTATTTTTTATTTCAATAAGATCCTAAATAATGAAAAGTTTAAACTGAACCTTAAAAATAGAAATATTTTAAAAGACCATAAAACATCATTGTAAAAATGAACAAAAAGGAATGGAACATCCATATAAAAATTCTTCTACGCATTACATTTTTTCCTTGACGATAAAACATCGAAAAAAAAGGGAGTCACAGCCAGCAAAAATTAACTTTTTGACACTATCCAAGCATAAATTAATCTTTATCATGCATAAAAGTAGGGTTTAGGTAAATATCCTGAAATTAGCAAACACAAAATTTAACAAAGTTGATAATGGTAACCTGAAAATCTGGGAAAGTACGTTTTGGAGCAAAAATGCAAAAAAAAGAAATAATTTCAAGAAATAAATTAATGAAAAATATTAGTGGAAGTTTACATAGATTCAAACCCCGAAAAAATTAGTAGCAAAATCCTTCAAACTGATATATTTTAGAATAAATGACGTGAGGAAAAGAGTACAGCATCACTACTATTGAGTTTTTAAAGATTAAAATTAATGAGCATTCGGAAAAGTGCAATAAAAAATTAATAAACGAAAATAAGCATCAGTTTTTCACACCGATAATCCATTTACTTTGCTTATATATTATCACTTCGAGTGGTGTAAAAAAGTATTTTGACTTATCAAATTGTTTTGTGTAAGAAAAATCAGAACTAAATTTGCATATTAAATTATGTAAGAGCTTGAAATTCAAAAAATTTTTGAGAAACCTAATAATTAAATTTCGCTTGAAAGAGAACGTTCTGAGAGAACTCAATACGTTAAGGGGAGGAAAAGGTTAAGAATGAAAATTATTTCCGAACGTAATTGGTGAACGGCCTCTAATAATGCAAACTTATTAAAAAGTTATAAATTTGTAAAATTATGAGAAACGCGGGTTGAAAGACACAAACAAAAAATAGTAATTTGTTTCTCTTTTTTTATTTAAATATGAATTGCATTTTCATAAAAATTGAAAGAGAAACTCTTGAGAGATATATTCAGAGTCAATCGAACGATTTTGATGATTTCGAAAGTTCCTCTTCAAGAAAGAACTGTTGAAATAAGAGAGATGAAAAATTACAATAATTTAAAAGACTATAGGATGATAAATATAAGAATAGAAAAAAAAACTATTTTGATGAAAAATTATAATATAATAATCAGGATTTAAAAAAATATAGCGGTATAAGGAGAATAATATTGCAAGAATGAAATGTTGCACCAAAAAAAGTATTTTAAAAGTTATACATATTCTATAAATTAGAATGAAAAAAATTACATAAAAATGCAAAAAAAATCCCCAACTTTCCCTCCTTTAAAACGAGTGCTGAATCCACTCTATGTGAATTCTCTGAAGTTTTCTAAATGTAAACGTTACCAACGCTTTAAAATATTATTGAAAACTAAATTCTTGAAATATATGAGAATGGATAAGTGAATTTAATCGATTAAAAAATTATGCAAATGAAATGCTGATGAAATATATTAAAAACGCGGAAATTGAATCTATTGATGTTGTTGTGAAGAAAAAATATTATTAAATTTTTAGGTGAACTTATAGATGAAAAAAAGGAATATTTTTAAAAAATTATCTCACAAAATGATGGAAAAATCTTCTCTTTCAGAACTTTTGATGATGAAATCGACGGTGAATGATAACTATTATGACGCAATAATTACAAATTAGATTGTAAAATAATTTAAAATGAGAAACAAAAAAGTCTAAAGCAAAATTCGAAAAAGAAATAAAATTTGATGAAAAATTTTAAACCCTGTGTTTTTATGGAGCTTAAAAATTAAATTTAAAAAGTTTTAATAATTTGCAATTTTCTTCAAACCCTAATTTTTATATTTTAGGATTTTTTAGATGTGCCACAATTAAAAAAGTTGATTACCATTGTTTAATTCTTTTCGTTTTCAATCGAAGATTCTTTTTAAAAAAATAATTCAATCAATAATATAAACATGCATATTATGAGGAAAAGAAATGAATTGGATAGAAAAAAAAATCATCGTCTGGGAAAAGTCAATGAAAGCGAAAAGAGAGAAAAAATGGTAATCAGATGTTTCATGTCTCCGCGTCGTCTGTTAATGTGATTGTGTGTAACATTTTTGTTTTTAAAACGCATGCTTCTCACCCTCGCAAAATAATCGTTTTATTCAATTGTGTATGAGAAAGAAAATGAAAATGAAATTTCTCTCTAATTCTCTTTACCTCTCATTTTCTTTTCTCTCTTGAAAAAATACAAAAAATTTTATGGGAAAATATTTCCTATCCTTTTCTTTAATCTGTATTCTCGCCTTTTCTTTTTCAAGCGAGAGTAAAAATTCCAAGGAAAACTCTTCATTTCTACGCCCTTGGAAGCTCTTTAACAAATGTGAAAGTACACTGTATATTTATTTCTTTGTACGGCGTTTTCACCAGTTTTCATGTTAAAAAACATTCTTCCGTATGAAAGTAAAGCAATAACGTTGACTGCATATTTTGAAATTACAGAATTAGAAAGATGAACAATTTTTGAAATGGAAGAAAAGTAAATGTGGACCATAGCTAGTCATAGCAAAAGTTTGTTTCCCTATGAAATTTCCATTCTCAATTTTAATAGAACGTTTGCATGTAGAATATCTTTTTAAATAATATTTTGTATACAGCATTTAATTTTTTAAAATTTTTTTGAGATCATAAACAGTTGAAATAATTCTTTTTCCTTCTTCCATACAATTTTTGTGGTATTGCTATTTCAATCGTGTTCTAATAGTGTTGTAAAAACAATTTGACTTGATAATTTAATATAGGATTTACTTGCTGTTGAAGTTAATCCTGAGATGATTAAATCGACCTAATTTATGATTAAACGGTTTTCAATATTTGTAGGGTAATTTTATATTGAAATATTTTCAAATCTAAGAGTTTTTAACTTAATTGAATAGTAATTAAACTGAAAACATTTATTACAGTTCACATTATTTTTAAAATTTTGTTAAATATTATCCAAGAAGAAAATTGTTTCACGCTCGCAAAATCCATTTATCAGAAGGAACAAATTTTCATATGTTTTCAAAATACTTTAAAAGACAAGAATAATGTTTCCAAAATCTGTCAAAAGCAATTTGAATTTCTCAATAAATGCGCCACATATCTGCATCATGTAACTCTTACATAATCTTCCTTTTAATTTTTCATATTACGTAGCAAGAAGATAGAAAACTTTGTTAAATCTGAAATACATATTGACAAATTTTTTTCCTCACTTATGTGTGCCTGCAGTTCAATTCAACTTAAAGTTTACTTGTCAAGAGAAGTGAGAGACACAAGTAAATGAAGGAATAAAAATTCATGAACACACAAACAATTCACTTCTTTTTATTCCTACAATTTCTCTCATTCTATCTTTTTATACTAATAACAAATTTTTAAGCTTATACTTCTCAAAAAATAGCTCACTTTGAACACTATCATTTTTGTATGAGTGGTCATGTTCAAATTATTTTTGTGGAGATTTTGTGACACTTTGAACAAAAACATTTTTTCTTAAAACTTTTGTGAGCAGTTTGAACAGCCTCTGCAAGAATTGTATTATATTAAACTATACTATATATTACATTTGATGAAAAACATGTTTTCAATTTAGCCGATGGTGAAAGTTCAATTTCGATAGACTTTCCTAGGAAGTCAGGAGTTGCTAAAATATGAAATTCGCAAATAGTTAATTCAATAGGCAATTCCACGGATGGGTTGAATTTCAAAAATTAATTTTGCTTACGCGTTGTGACATTACATTAATTGAAATATAATTTTTCATTTATTTGTCTAATGACTGTCTTTGACCCAAAGAAATAAAAAAAGATTGAAAAGGACATAACAAACCAAAAAAAGTTGTTTCGATGTCTTAATAATTGAAGTATTTAATTGCGAAAAACTATAACAAAATGAGAAAATTCAGCGTTTTACATGAGTATGTATAGCCATTAAAATCTGAATTTTAGTTTGAGATAAAATTTATCTTTTATTGTACGATATTTCATTACCTTTGTTTGTGTGCGCTTACAATGTCATTTTCAAATCCCTTTAAAATTTTTTTTTTCACCAACTCAATCTGTGCATTCAATTTGGTATGTGTGAACATTTAACAATAATTTGAAGAAAATTGCAAAAAAGCTCCATAAAAATTTTCATAAGATGTATTGCATAACAGTTACGTCATCTATTCATCCTTTATATCATCAACTAGAAAATGAAAGATTTCTATAAATGTCATGAATTAAAGTAATTTTATTTTTTATTTTTACACAATCAGGTACCACTATCAATTGATCCACCAGAAGATTTACTAGAGGAGACCCAAGAAAGCATGTCTTCACCTATTGTCATAAATGATAAAATGTTGAGTCATTCGGCAGCTGTTACTCTTGCACCGAGTACCAATCAGAATTCTCTACATTTGGCATCACCAGGTGGAATAGAAACTTATCGAACATCTTCAAACAACAATAACGCATGCCGAGATATTAGAAATGGTAATAGTCATAACAATCATGCTGCTTATAACAACTTCATGGATTCTGATGCAATCAATTTCTTAATGGAATTAAATGAACAGGATTATGAATGTAACATACCAGTTAATGATATTTTAAAGTTGATGCCGTAAAGCTTTATTCAATCTGAAGAAAAGCTCGAATTAAGCTTAATGTTTAAGATAGAGGAATGAAAAAATTAAAGTATATAATTTACGATTTTTGCATACATGTTTATGCGATATACTGCATGGTTTTTCTCAAATTTGAATATTTGAATCATACAAAACCTATGAAAATCTTGAGTCGACTTCGAGCTCTGTATTAGACTATACATTTTCAGAAAAAATTTTAAGATCACTTTCACGAAATATTTTTAAACAATCTTTTTTTATTGATGTAAATTTTAATCAATATTTACGTTTACAAACCATAAAATAGTTTAAAACAATTCAGAAATAATTTTTGCTTTATCTCTTTATAATAAAAATCATATTTTATTTTGTATAAACATGAACTGTATCATTTGTAATTATATAATGAGTAAGGACTTTACCTTTTCTAATCTATTTTTTAAAAAGTGAAAAAAAATGAATAGGTAAACGAGATATAAGGTACAAAAGAATAAAAAAAATCATATGAATTGTTAAAATAAATTAATATGATGATGAATAATTTAAAATTCTGTTATCTGTTTGAACTTCAAGAAGAAAAAAAGTGCACAAAATTTAATCATAAATCTTTATTTTGATACACAAACAACTAAAAAGCTGTATGAATCTAAGGATAATATGGATAAATGTGACAAGTAGTTCTTCTTTTTATTGTAAAAATCTTAATTAACTGCCGAAAATATAAACTAGAATATGAGAGTAATATTTCATTTTTAACAACGATTACATCAGAATTCCATGGAAGAAAATAAGAAAAAAATTGTGCTGCAGGATATTTCACAATTCTTACTCAAACTTTTTTTTACATAGTAATTTTTATACAATAAATTTTCACTTTTTTTTCAAAATAAATTTAGTTTAAATCTTTTTTTTTATTTAACATACACAAGCATATGTTAATGCAAACAATGCATTGTAAGGATCAATAAAGTTATTTTAAATATATTTAATTAATCGAATTGAGTCATCAAGAAAAAGGGTGTTGGTTTTTTATTTCTTTTAAAATTTTCTTTCTTGCTTTGATTTGTATTTTTTTTTAATTGCCTTTTACTATGGATATGAACTTATCTTTCATATAAGAATAAACTAATTTTAAATGAATTTACATATATTCTTTTTAAAACCACTAGATTTATAGATGAAACAAGTAAAAAGATTTTCACAGGGAGACGTATCTTTCATTGGTTTCAAAATTACAATAAATTATTATGTTTTAGGGTCATTAACAACATATTTATTTAAGTATGTATCCGAGTGTGTTTAAGCATTTTTGAAATTAAATAAATAATTGTAAAAAAATGTAAGAATTATTCTGAATTCGAGATATTCAATGACCCAGCATCCCAAAGAAGAAACCTTATAATGTACAAAGAGATCCAGCAACTAAAGCAGAATACAAAAACTCTGATCTCAAAAAATAAATCTGAGATCTTAAAAAAAATTTGACTCTCAATGATCAAGATATCGTCACCCTAAAGAAAACTTACATATATGTATGCGAAAATTCTTTAAATATTTTGAAAAAATAGTGATCTGTAGATTAAGAAAAAAATCATCGAATTTGAAAAAAAACTTTAACTTTAAACTTTTAAAGAAAACTCCTGATTAATAATAGGAATGATAAACTTTCAAAACAAAAAACTTGTCCTTAAAAATCCGACAAACATTTTAATAGTGAACAAATTTAAATGTTTATTATTTTTCACAAAAATATCTTATATGAAACGGTTATTCATATCCAATTTTTATTAAAAACAATTTTTTTCTAATATTTGAAAATTAAAAGGATTAAAAATTTTCTAATCTCACTTTATTACTATACTAAAATATTAATGTTGAATAAGTTTAATTAAAAATTGCACCCAGAAATAAGAACTTATTCTTGTAAAATGATTGCGAAGAAAAAAATCAAATATTCACTGAATTAAAGAATAGAATTATGAAGTAATTCGTGAATATTTTATGAGAAAACAGTTCAGCATCAAACTGGATATTTTTAAAAATGATGGGTGAAATAAATATGTTTTGTTGAACATATTGGATAAATCCAAAAAAAGGAAATTATATACATATATACATAGCAGCTATATCTTTTGTAATGATAGAATTGATAACTGTAATATACATGAAGATTATTTAGATTAGAAACAATTTCAAACTGAAATTCATTAAAGTTTTTATTAGTTCAGTTTCTTTTTGTTTACTTGAGATATTATAATTAATAATTTTATAATTATGTTTCGTTTTAAATTTCTTTTCATTTAAAATTATTATGACTTTATTGTTTCTTTTAAATTGATTTTTAACGATTCATTTAATTATATAAGATATGAATAAATGTACATGTATGTAAGTTTTCATTAATTTGGTAAGAGTTTAATAAAAATTTGTTTCGAAAAAATTCCAATTTTTAATTTACTACCGAAAGATTCTGGGATTATTTAGGCTTAAAATATTAGCGAGGGAATTCCGCTATACATCTATTGATTTTCAATATTTTTGTGAATACTTTCTTTTCATATTCTCCATTTTTTTTATATTCTCGTACTTCTAATTTCAAGAAAATCTTTAAAAAAAAGAAAGCAATTTGATCAAAATCAAATCTTAGTAAAAATCTAAACTGATGCAAATTTAGATAATTTAAACTTTTTGCCTATTTTAGGATGAAATAAGTAAGCAATATTTTGAGTTTAAAAAAGATTTGATATTTTGCTCTGTTAAAGTTTAAATATTTCTACTTTTGATCCATTTCAAAAACAAAACTGAGTAATAATTTTGAATACATTCATAAGAATATAAAATTGAATTCACTTAATTTAAGAATAGAGTAATATTAAGTCCCAGAAGTTTTATTTCTGAACAGTGCCATCTACACAATTATTTTTCAGCGCCATCTATAAATCCTGTAAATTTATCATTATAAAATAGTGATGCAGTGCCATCTTTTGCATGTTTTATATTTTTATATTTTTTTTAAATCGGATTTAATTTAGATTAAATTATGAGTTATTGGATTGAAAATATTTCAAACTGGAACCTGAAAATTGCGTTGTGAAAATAAAAAAAAATATAATTCTTGAAATATTTCTTTATTTCAGTGTCTGATGTCTTTGATTAAATTATCAGAGTAATTTATGGATAATATGCATAGACAATTATTTTTTTATAATTTTCTTCTTTCTAATTTTTTGATTTTTCAATGAAGGTTTGTAATTTAAAATAATTTTATGGCTTCTTAATATCTATTTGATTCTTAAGTTGAAAGAAGACTAAAATATTTCTATTTATCCTTTCGTGGCTGAATAGAAAAAAATGACTACGAAAATGTTTCAGCAAAAAATCTTTTTCTCTTTTGTACATTCAACGAGCGAGAAATGAACGAAAAAAAGATTTTTTTTTATTCGATTAGAAAAAACTCTTTTTTGTGTTTTAAAAAAAATATTTACAGGTTACTTAAAACTATTTACTTCGTCCATTTTCTACAAACTTATTCATACTTATGAAGTTATGAAGAATCAAACAAAATTATATTTATTTTTTCTGGCAAATTTTATTAGGAGATTTAAATTTACAACTAATCTAAGCGTCAAGAAAACAGAAATAGAAAATTTTGTTTTCATTCACATACATACTGATTTTCTTTCGGTCTATAATGATTTGCCATTTTTGGGATTTTAATAATTGTTTTAAATATATGGCACCGGTAAATTATATTTTTATATAACACAAAAGCAATGCAAATAAGAAGTCGATTTATTTAAAATGCATTATTTTTCGATACTGCAATGTTTTTTCGTCAATTGTTAATTGGTTGATTTTTTCTTGTATTTTTTCACTCGAAATAAATTTAATTTAACTAAGGAGTAAATCAATGAGTGTAGTTTTTTTAATTAAATGATACTGATTGTCATAAAAAAGACAAATCAACTGTACTAAAATTATGATAAAAAAAACTTTCGTAAAAAATGGTCAGTCGATTACTTCCTTAATTATCGGAAGTGATTTTTCTCGTTTACTAAAGAATCTTTAAAATTCAGGAATGTTCGTTCGTTTTTAAGTTTTGTTTCGTTAATCAGGAACACAATAATTCAACATAAAAAACTATAGATATATTGTTATAGTCAGGATAAGATCATTGATTTTAATTAAAAAGGATCAAAATTTCTTAAGTTATCTTTCATAAAATAGATAAATTTTCAGAACCAATAATTAGAATTTCATGCTTGTTATTTACATTTTTAAAAAATTCAGGAAAGTGGTTTTAGATATATTTAAATTGGGTATTTTGGTAGTTAATTGTGTGAACGGTATTTATCTGCTGGTAACAAATACATAATTTCCTGTTATTTAATCATATTATATTGTTATTTGTTACTTACAACTAAAACAATTTAATTTTTCTTTTCCTATTGAACTCAATAAAGCACTTTTCAAGCAGAAATTATGAAAATAATAAATTTATATACTCTGCAAAAGCAATAAGCATAAGTCGAATACATCTTTCACATATTTTGCCTATCAACAAAGCTTCAATTCCTAAAAAATTCTTAATTAATTAATATATATATGGATATATATTTTTGAATGATAGATAGACAGGATATAATATCAAGAGTAATATTTTTTGAGAAATTTTTGTATATAAATATTTAACTTTTTCATCATCATTTAACGTAGAGTTGCTACAGGATTAGATAGTTGATCTATGAGTATTAAATTGTTTATATCAATAAAGGAATAGAAAATAAAAACTAAAACCTATTTTTATGAGTTTCGCTTTTTACAGCTGCTTGTCTTTATAAACATATTTGGGTCATCACCAATCATCCTATCGTGTGCGTGTTGCCGTTCTAGAAAAAAAGATAAGTTATGACTGATGAAAAAAGTAAATGGTTATAAAAAAAATGTCACATATTGCTTGAGATTTTGAGAGTAAAAAATAAATTTAAAATCGATAAAATAGTAAAGCAGCATTGACTGTCACCATAGTTGCAAATAACAATTTCAAGTATTTTGTTATTAGAAAATTATTTTTCAAACGTTGCACAAAATTAAGATTCCTCATATATAAATGGCATCAAACTTTTCCGCAAACCAATATGACAGAGCATTCAGTACAAAAAATTTGTGCAACTGGCAAGTGCCACATTGCTATCCACAACATCCACGACGGCGGACGAATATTACACAATTTATTTCGAATGATCGTGGACATTTATTGCCCAATTTCGAACGATCGAAATCAGGTTCTTGGGGACATTTTAAGGTGAGATTTTTATTAATCAAAGTTTCTCATAAAAATATTCAATAATATCTTTCTTAGAGCACATGGGAACTTCCGAATATCATAACCCGACAGCAAGCAAATGATTTGAGTGCTCCACAAATGGGAAATTCACGATGGTCACTTCCAGATCCTAACAAGAGAAAGACGCTTGAAAAACCCTTGAATATAAAACGAGAAGATATCGACAAAGATAATCGTGCAGAGAGTTCTGAATTAATGAGATCTCTTACTCCATTTGAAAATGAAGACTGCAAGCGAGAAATTGAAGAAAATGCAAAACGAAAGTTTAATGAAAAGGAAAAATTAAATAATCCGATAGCTATTTCAGCATACGGAAAACGTGCGATTCGGCATGAAACTCTTGAACGCGATAATGATTTGCATTAACCACATAGCAAATTTTTAAGTCTGATTCACGAAATTTATCGTACATTAAACAAAAACTTTTTTAAATTTTTAAATAGTGTCATAGATGAGAATATTAAAATTTAAAGAAACTTATCAAACATAAATTAGTCATTCTATTTTGTGCCCGAAATAAATTGTATAAAAAATATTTGCAAAGTTTTAAAACCCATAAATTCCCATATATTTCATGATGCATACATCCAACCAAGATGGCAACAACTATCGAACTATATATATATATACTATCTTAGACTTAGAAAAGGATTTTGACATTTAGTACAGTTATTTTTTTCCTTCTTTAAAAAAATTTCTGAAGTTATTCATACAACTTTGACATGAAAAAAAATGGATGAAAATTTTTAAAATCTATTACGCAATCAGGTATTCACGTAATCAGCATTTAAGAGAACTATAGTAGAGATTTACCTTACTGGAAGAGTTTTCTTTGGTGTTGTATGAAGTTGCTTATTTGGGGTCCGAGGAGTTTGTTGAATCATAGCTGTAGGTGAAGTAACATTTGTTGGTGTTGTTGTATATTTCTTTGGTTGTGCCATCTTACTCGGCGATCGAAGGTTTTTTCCTCCAATAAGAAGCTCATGGTTTTGCCTGAAATAAAATTAGTTCAATTAAATGAAAAGTTATTTTAAAACTGATTATTCCTAATAATTACTTTGGATTTGGATAGCTCACAGGACGTGGGATTTTTGATTGGCATTTTGATCCTCCAGTCGGTGTTGTAACATTACTTTTAGTTTCTAATATCTCCGGTTCTTGTTGTTCTTTACTTAATAATTCCCACTGAATTTGAAGCCTCTTGAATCTATTACTTTGGATTTTGTCTTGTTTTTCTTTTTCTAATCTTTGTTGTTTTTTCTCGACAGGAGATTTTTTATCAACCAACTGAGACATTTGTGGTGAATTAGGTGGCGTTGTGAATTTTTTATCGAAATCAGGTGCTTGTAGATGATTCTTGACATGTCTTACTGGCGAAGGCGTGGGAGATGGACGGTTAAATGATACCTTCCTAGACGATAATGTTTTGCTTACTTCATTCCTCAATTTTGTTTTTTCAAATGGATTATTATTCTCACTCTCAGCTTGATTCCATTCAAGTATTTGTGCAATATCTTCATAATTTCTCAATTCTGATTTTGGAATGGCATTCAAAAAACTTTCAGCTTTCAATCTTGCCTCGATTTCTTGAATGTCAACATCTGTTGCAGTTGGATTGCTTCCATAATTTAATTTATTAGATAATGCTTTATTTAGTTCTAATTCTGTAAGCAATTGATTGAGATCTTTACCATTTTCACGCTGATCATCACGCGTTTTCATATAATTTGGTAACCGATTAGCAAAATTCTTTGTGCCACCAATCCCATTAATTCCAATATTATTAAAGTATTCTTCTAGTTCATTGTGATGATAAAAATTAACATCTTGCAATGAACGCCTCTTCTCTTGTGGCGTTGGATTCGTAATTTGAATTTTGGTCAACTGTTGATCCATCATACTATAACGTTTTTGTTTCTGTCCATTTTGATTTGCTAATACACGTGGTGTAGGCGTATTTGCAGTCGTATTTATTCTCCTTAAAATGCCTCTTCTTCCACTCGGTGGTCTTTGATCTATGTCGGGTACATTGTCATATTGATAAATAAACATATTTTTCATTGCCTCATTTGCTGAACCACCATTAATCAACTCTTCCATTTCAGAATCTGTTAGCATCGTCGATGAACCACGATATCCACTACTTGGTGGTTGCGAACTTCCACCAGAGCTTGAACTATTTAATGTTTGGTTTTGAATTAATGTCTGGCAATCACATATTAATCCAGTTGTAGTTCGTCTAATTGGTGGTGTCATACAAAATAAAGGCTTTTGTGATGATATTGAAGCTTCCATTGAAGTTATTTTATTAACTTCAGGAACATTTTTAAGAAGTTTTTTATAATCACGGGGTAAAAGCGTTAATAGTGAATTCCAATCCTGAACATGACTATATTGATTTTGTTGCAATTTATCAATGTCTAAAGATTGTGGGCGCTTTCTAAATGAAATGTGTTTATTTTGTTTTAAGTCGAGAGTTCTTGCCATTTTTGGTTGACCTTGATAAACCAGTGGTGACATAATTATATCTTTCTTTAAATTAATTGTTTGACTATTGATAAATTCCAAATCAGGAAGTGCATAATTAGGATAAATAACATATACGGGAGCATGCTGTTGATCACCAAGTTTACTCAAATGAGATAAGAATGAAGGTGGAACCATTGTAACACAGTTTTGAGGTAATTTCTTTGTTGTTGTTTCAGGTTTTGGCATAAGTATTGAAGATGTTTGTATAGATTTTGTTATCATATCGATTGGTACAGTCATTTTACTTTCAATCGCTTCAGTTTTATGAATTTGTGTAAGGTTTTCAGATGTTCGACTTCCTTCTGATTGACTTTGACTAATTACCCGGCCATTATTACTTCCATTATTGTTAAGCACATTAAAAAGTAACGGATTTTTTGTTTGATTTTTAATATTTAATGCACAGTCTCTATAATTTCGTCTGTGTGTAGGTGAATCAAAGATTTCACGGTTAAAATCATTTGTCTTTTTCTCACCTCGATGATTTATATGAGCATCAAGACTGTCTAATTGATACTCGGCATCTTCTTCATGACGACTTAATGCTGAAAATTTCCCAGAATCATTCATACTCTTTTTACGTAACCTATTTAGACTAGAATTAGAGCAATTTCCGGGGTGCTCTGTTGAACTGTTGGTGGAATCACTTGGCCAACATCCCGATGAGACATCCATGCATGTATCAGAACTGCTACTTTTTTGTTTAATAAACAATTTTACAAGATTGAAAGACGGTGGATTAGCAACTTTTTCGTTATTGCTATTTGAATGATCATTTGGCGCTGGGCTATCAGATTCTGACGATACTATTGGTGCCGGATACATTTGAAGCATTGTTTTAACTTTACTCTCTGTGTCCATTGAGGATTGACTTGATGCAACTTCCGATACATTTAACTGATATTGTTGATGCTGAGTATGCTGAAGCTGTTCTTGATGTTGCTGTTTTTGCTGCAAAATTGCCTTCAAATTTGGCATACTTGAGCTTTTACGCACATTATAATCAAAATAATGTGTACACGCAGTTATGTTGTTGTTATTGACATTATTATTGTTTATAAAGTTATTTTGAGTTGTTTCGTTATTATTACAGTTATTATTATTGCCAGATGGATATCTGAAAAGAAAGTAACGAATTGCATTAGATAATAAAGAAGGTTTAAAAGGCTTAAATTGCTTTACCTTTGTATATGAATATGATCATTACTCTTTTTCAGCTGACTCCACGTTGTAAAACCGGTATCTGACTGTGTCATATCACTTTCGACATTCATCTTTTTGTTGTTCAACATATTATCCAGATTTACTGAATTTCGCTTCAGCTTTCCATTGTCGGGAATATCTACGAAAAACAAACAGTAAAAAACATAACATGTGCATCAATATTTTGAAAATTAACATTTTGAAATACAATATATTCACTTATGATGTTCATCGATTAGTAATTTTCTGACTCTTCAAAAAAATAATCCTAAATTTTATGAACATCATAAGTGAACAAGCAAAAAATCAGGAATTTAATTAACAATTACCGTAATAACTTTCATCCGAGTACATACAGCTCCCTTCAAAAGCAATTGTATAATTGTTCTTATTGGCCTGACATGTTAAAATTATATCGTCCGGATATCCATCCATATCTAACGAATCAACGCTGATATGTGATTCCCTTACAGGTGAAAAAAGAATTTCAGATTTACAAATTGAATTATCCAATTCATTTTGATCCTTCGATAATATTTTTGTTGAATTTCTACTCTCAGCTCCTTCATGGCGCAATTTTAGAAGTGAATGAATGTCCTCGCTCCGAAAATTTTCCATATCTACTTCAGCTAAATTTGCGTCAATATTTCTTGCTAAATCATCATAATAAGATAGCTCATTCATGCCATAACTTGCTGATAATGACGACAAGATGCTCTGATGTTGTACACTATCTCTATAGCTGATTTAAAAAAAATATATATTTTAAATACTTTTTGATACATAGGCATAATGAAATCTCTTACCCATAATCAACAAACCATTGATAGTCTGAATTATCATGAGTAAAGTCTGAAGCAAAAGAGCATCCTAATATTGATGTCGGCCCCATGTTATTATTATTGGTATTATCACAATCAGCTGGGCTAGTCGACATTTTTTTGGTTTTACTTTTAATTTGATTTTTGGTGACTTGTGGTTTATTAAATGATCTAGTTGGTGGACTATGATTCCCAAATATATTTAAATATTGAAATTGATCCTGATAATAATCTTGTTGATTTTGTTGTTGCTGTTGTTGATTCAAAAGATCATTTTGAATATTATTTAACACAATTTGCACATTATTTTTAAGTGCATTTTCAGTTAAATCTTTTAATTTGTCACAAGAGGGTTGTCTCTTTTGATGAACATGTTTCTGATCATAATAGAAGTTAGTGTTATTATTATTCTGATTATTCAGAATAAAATTTGTATTTAATGATGATAACGGCTGTTTCAGCAATGGTGGTTTTTGTAAAAAACCTGATTGCTGCTGCTGTTGTGACAATAATCCAGTTTTAATCAATTTTGTATTCTTGACTGTTGCTGGTCGTTGCGTGGAATTGTCTGTCATGCCACGATATGAATTAATTCCTACTTTAACAACGAAAATGAATAAAGAAAAGAAAATTAAGTAAGTTCATTGATGAAGATATTGAGAATTATTTGTGAATGATTCAAGTACACAGATACATTCAACAATTAGATCAAGATCCGTCAAAATGTATGTTATTGTAAGCAAAATTACGATAAACTTGAAAAGTTCATTGTGCTATTCTATTTTTTTGAACAAAAACTATTAAATATTTTTAAACTATACATTTTTGCAGTATTTTCATTTTTATTTATTATAAATATTAGTATAGTTGTTAATTTAAGATAGTTTTCTTTAAAAATATTTTAAGGTTTCAAGTTATCAGCTCATATTTAAAATCAGACGCAACTGTAAGCAAAGGCTTTTAAAATCAATTGTGTGACGCCACATAAAAAGTTATTTTAATAATATCAAAAAGATTAAATTAAATTCTTAATTTAAATTATTAAAGATTTTGTACCAACTTAAAGAAAGTAATTTATAAACTCACTAAAAATACATTTGGAACATAAACAAAAACAGTTAAGTTGAGGAAAAAACATCATTTCACAACATGAATATCAATAACTTATTTATAAAAAAAATCATAGAGCATCGAGTTGGTTTAAAATCTGTTTTTAAAAGAAAAAATTAATAGTTTTTTTCTCTCATGTTTTATTTGATGTGTGTGGTAGCTTATGCATTATGTACAGCGACATATCATTAACAATTCAAAAACTGAGATCTACAAATGACAAACTTTTTATATAACATTTATCGAAAGCGTTGTGTGACAATTTGTGGCAACACTAATCTTATAAAAATGTTAAATAACATTTTATAATATTATTTTAAATTCTTTTTAATTTAAATTTTTTTAAACGATCTCTTAACTTTAGAACGAGAATGAAAACAAATATTTTCATTTAAAGACGATAAAGATCTTATTTGTAACGATTAGTCATCATTATGGGATATTTCAACCTTTGCACATTTTTAATTTCTTATCACATGTATGATATTTATTGTCAATTACATCCTGTAGTTAATAATTCATCGAAAATTTGAATTCATTCGTTGACTCATGCGATTTATTTAAGGCCAAAATTCTACACACATTTTAACAAATCAACGTAACGTAATATTATGAAAAAAATAATATTTCAAGCAATATTTTATACCTTTTCAACCGCAACAAATGAAGCTCAGACAGTGACTGAAAACTAATTCAATATTTTTTTTCTTTTTTTCTTTCGTATTCCGTTCATCATGTATTTGTTTTTGGGTCTTTTGTACAGTAAGATTCAACAAAACTATTTACTTTTATAGTTTATATAAATATAAAGATACTGTCGTATTGGGGTTGCAATGAATTACTCAGGGATTGCGATTTTGTTGCATCAAGAAAACAATGATTGTAAACGTGTGTTTTTAATTGAATCATTCTTGTTGACGAGACTAAATTATTAAAACCTTTTTAAAATTTCGTCGCCTCTTAAAAATAAATTTTATAAAATATTTGATCAATTTTAATTCACGATTTTTAAGACTTTATTAATAAAATAAAATAAAAAAACAAAATTTGCCTATTCGTACGCAAATTTTAAAGAATGTATTCAATACAATGACAAATGTTTAAAACAGAAAAAAATAAAAATGATTTACGTACAAAATATCATATGATTCTTAACCCAAGAGTGCTAATTGATATTCACCAGTAATATATTACAATTGAAGGTAAAAAAATTTGTGCTCTTTCTTTTTCGTATATATTGTGTACAAGAAATTTTTCACGATTTTCAAAAAGTAATTTGAGTCAAAGGAGTTTAAAATAATAAATGGAAAATATTCCATCTGTCTAAAAGTCTGATCTGCACAAAACACGATGAATCATTGAAATTGAAATAGAGTGTATACAGCATTCAAAAATACTTAAGGTTAAAATGAAATTAGCCACCTACACAATTTTTGATGTGTAAAGCAAGAATATTACTTTTAACTCTTATAATACTTTTCAAAATCAAAAATACATTGAGAAACAATGATGAAACTAAAGTTTTTTAATATTTGATTTTTCTTAATCCCTGCATGAAATAGAAAACTACTAGCTGGCTACTTCTTTAATTTAATTCACATCGCATCCAATATCTTTTTATTTTATAATGCAAACTAAAATAATTTATTATACTCTTGATTTGTATTAAAATTCTTCACACTTTTGAAATTTAAGGCGAGTTTCTGAGAAAATTTAAATCAATTCATAAATTTTATGCGTCTGATTTTTGAGTTTTGTTATTCGAATGATTTGCAATGCTCGAAGTCAATCTCGGCTCGCATCGACATTTTTTTATTCGTCTTACAAAAAGTATAATCTTTTCAACCAGACATTTTGTTCAATAATGTATTATTTTGTAGAGCTATCGATAATAAACATTTTGATGTGATAAAAATTTGGTTTATTAATCAGAAACTTTCAAAAAAATGCTTGTATCTTTATGAAAACTGATGTTCAACATATGATTCTTGTATATCTTTTTTTTTCAGAAAAACAAATTTCAAATTTTGAAATTTTTGACTTTTCAAAATTTCCAACATAATCAATTCAAAAATTTATTGTAAAGGTAAAGGTTTTATTTGCTTAATTTAAAACGAGATTATCTGACTAAAGTTTAATATTGATGCATTTACTAATATTTGAATGAAAAAGGTTATTCTAAATTGTCAAATCGCTTCTCACATATTGCTTAGGAAATTCTTCAATCTTTTAAATTGATGTATCTTACACTATATATGGCTAGTATATAATCTTGATGATGTCCTCTACAAAATACCTAATCACACTTTTGTATTTGTAAGAAAATTCGAGAGAATATATCCTTTTATACCCAGCAAAGGAGACACATAAAAAATCACAAATTATTGGTGGGTAAATGATTCTGTTAGTAAAAATAATAGTGGGGAAATAAATGCTGGGCAAAAATAGCACTGGGGGAAATGTCAAGATGGAATTGATCAATAGTTCTTGTTCTTAATGATAAACAATGTACATTCAATAAAATTTTTTAAGCATATTTGTCTCTGTCTGTCTGAGTCATAAAACTTTCGTTATTCAAATTTGTACTTAATTTTACCGGTAGCAAGTTAGAAAACAACAAGTAGTTAATGTTATCAACATAAAAGAAGACATTCTAAGTTTTATTTACCTGTTTTACGATTCTTCAAATATTCTTTCAATTCGTCTGCACATGACTGATCAATGTCTTGAAAGTAATTCATTGGGAAGCAATTTTCATTTGCCATTTCATTGTTTTTATAATTATTATTGTTGTGAATTTTAAATCCACTGTTAAAGTGATTCTCTTTAGTATTTTGAAGACATTTATTACGCGTCATTTTGTGATTATTGTTATTTGCTGAATACATTTCAATTAATTTCATTAAACACACTATAAAGAGTAGCAGCATTTATATGTTTACCCTATAAAGCATGAGGTAAACTAATATTTCTGTTCATAAACTACTTTTTTTGTTGTTTAAATTTTAATTCCTGTTTTATTTTAGCTTTTTTATTGGTGATTAATAAAAATTCACATCGAAATTTTCAATTCAAATTAAAATCAAGTTCAATTCTTCTTTATTTTTTCCAGTTTACACGTTTATTCACACAAATTTCTTATATATTCAGCAGGAAATTTAACGCACTTACATTCACTTTTATTTCTTAATTATTCATTTTTTTAAACTTTTATTCTTCTTTTTATAAATTGCAGATTTAAATTCTGTAGTTAAAATGGATAAAAACATAATAAATATAAAGCTATTCCTGTTTAGCATTAATTAAATTGATATATCAATTTCACTTCTGTTCAATATAAGCTTAAAATCGCGAATAAAATTTAAAGATTAGTTTGCATGGGTTACCAAATCAATATAAATTATGAGCTTTCAAACTCAAATATGAAAAGTAAATTAGAAAAAAAATAAAATTTTAAATAAATTTGGCAACATGGACTTTTGATTCAAAATAAAAAAAAGACTGTTTAATCCTCCTGTGCATTTCGTTCTTTCGTATTAATAAATACTGTACATCATCGCCTTATCATGTGGGTTTAAAACTGAATCATTTGATTTAAAATGAAAAATGTCACTTTATTTTTTCACACAGATTGACGACATGACAATCCAAACAGAGTAGATTAAAAGTATAGCAATAATATTTTTTTCTCGTAGTTATGTATCAATTACATAGTGAAAACTACATGAAGCTTCCTGTTTGCAATTTATCATTTTCTATATTTGAATTTTCCTCACCGATATAATTACAAATTAGTAATAAAGTAGCTAGTTCAAATCGTTAAAATAAGGTGCGTAATCTTTTTTTTCCGATCTTCTTGTTGAGATTTTTTTTTGTGTCTTTGAAATTAATCATAAATAACTTTCATTTTTTAAAAATTCACTTGTAATAATGTCTATCATTATGATTTATTAAAAACTGCACTATCATTAGAAGTGTTGCTAATTACACTTTACTTGTATCCCACAGTTTATACGTGATAAATAGAAAAACAACATTAGGACCTTTAGAACTGAACACATCAAGCTTCTCTCACAAATTAAAATTTATAGAACAATATTTTTTATTTCATTTTTAAGTGAGCATGAGATCATTCTGTGCTCTCATTAATACAACGAGAAAGAACTTTCCTTGTGATATATTTAAAGCAGACTCCCATATGCAATATATTCCATTTTATTTAACTCTTTATTGTATGTGTAGCTAGCTGTACCCACATATCAACACATTCTAACGACTTCAAGTTGAATTAAAGCCAATTTAAATTAATTTAAATTTTTTATTCGCTCTTTCCCTTTGTAAACGTTTTTCTTTATTTTGCAAAAAAAAACTATTTGTAGCTATTTTAACTTCTTTTCATTCATCCATCTTTGATTTTTCTTTATTTAAAGTTAAACAAAAGTTATTATACGCATGTTAATGTTAATAAAAATACTTTTGATGTTTTTCAAAATTTAAAGTATAAAACCTAATAGTGTTCTAGATTCGAAAAAATTCAAGGGGGATTCATCATCGTGAAACGGGTTACATTGATCAAAATTTGACTAGACCCAAAAAATTCTATAGAAAGGGGCACATTTCTTTTTTTTTTCAAGTATTAATGGGTCGTAAATTTCTGTTTTGAGAATTGAAAACAATGTATGACATTACTAATATTGCTGGTATCGTTATCTTATCGTCTGGCGCTACATGCGGTCCAATATTGTTATAAGCAGTTTTTGAGTAATGTCATTTTAAAATGATGAATAAATCAATAAATTTACCAAAGTTGGTAATAAAAAGTCTATAATTTATTAATGGAACTCAATAGAAAACATGTCTAACGTTCAATAAAACAGAAGAGTAATGATTTAGAGAAAACATGTTTAATGTTGCAAGCAAACAAGAATGATTTTAATTAAAAGGCAAGCATGCATCGTCAACATAAAAGGGAATCTTCATTTACTCGTTACTTTTACTTTCAAAAGCATACAAGTTAACCTAAATTTTAATGCAAAAATAGAAATGTTTAATTTTCTTGACAAATCTTTCAATCTATTTCTAAGTGAAAGTCCTTTTTTTAAATTTTGCCCAATAGTGCAATTTTGATCATCTTTGACAATTTTTGATAATTTCATCAGTTGATCGACTTTAAAAGTTATTGATTTATACAAGTTTATTGAAATTATCGAATAAATTAAAATTTATATGTTTTAAAGAGTTTATGCATTGCGCAATGAACTTTGCATATAAACAAAATATCATGGCATTTATGCAAATAAAAAGCATTATCAGAAGATTAATTAATGTACGATGAAAAGGCATCTCTTATGTAAAATATATAATACAAATTATTAAGATCTCATTTCCGCAATGAATTCAAAAACCAACATCCAAAGAAGGTTAAAAAAGAAAAAAATCTACTCAATTATTTGAAGTTAAAATGAAGGAGTAGATGATGCAAATAAAAACCAAGAAACTAGTAGTAAATTTGAAAAGAAATTAACTTCATTATCTTATTTTTAACGTTGATCAATTATCGCTCAATTTTTGGCTCTTTCCTTTTACTTATTGACGTCATAAATTCTTCTGAAATTTGCTTTTGGTTTTATATTTATTTGTTTCTTACTAATCCTTGAAATGTGAATAATAAAAAAGAAATCTGTAAAAAAATTCTACTTCTGGGTCTCGTCACAAAGAGATTGTGTGTGAGTGACGCTATGTATTTCTTGATATATAACTTACTTCTTCAAAGTTATCCCTTGCTTTAGAATATCATTTTAATTAAGCGTCACTCACGTAATTTAATAAAAATTCTCTGTTTTCTGGACATTTAAGTAAAACTTTTGTTTAAATAGTGTAAACCAATATAAAGTTATGATCAATTAAAGTTTTTAAGAACATATATACCGCAAAAAACAGAGCATTTACCCTATTTGTTTGCAGTCTGAAGGCCGTTTAATGGAAATTGCCCACGAAATACGATGTGAAAAAATATTTGCCGTAATTTTAGCACGTTTTATTTCTGTAACAAACAGCTCATTATCACACATACATCACATTTTCACAACCAATTGTAAATTTACAGAGATTTTAAATGTGTACTTGTAGGTGATACATGCAAAAATAAATTGTGCACGTTAAAATTTAAGCATTTTCTCGATTAGTTTATTTTCATTTTTCACAATTTTTCTTTTTCATTTTTAAATGTGATGAAATCATCAATAAGTAATTTTGTAAGTTTCAATGCTTCATGATTTGCTGTTTAAAACATTCCAAACCAATTAAGATATTCATTTTGATATTTTGAAATTCGAGAAATTATAAAAAATTACTTTTATCAAACTTTTATGATTTAAAATCAAATAAAAATTGAGTTTTCTGTTCTGCGATTATCAAAAGTCTTTGACGTGAAAACGAGTCCTTATTTTCGTAATTTTTGTCGTTCAAAGTGAAATCTTTTAAGTTGCTAGTTAAATTATTTGTTTTTCATCCTGAAAAATTTTCAATTAGTTTATTTAAATCTAAGGTCAAAGAATGTTTCCATACGATGTATTGCGATGCTAATAATAATAATAATAATAATAATAATAGGGCGATTCTCCAGATAAAAATTTTCAAAAAACCACGACTAAAATGAATTTTTTATAATTTTTTTCCATTAGAGAGCCTTGAAAGACAAATTAATATTGTACAACTTTTTAAACTCTACAAATATGTATAATTAAATGCTTTCAATATACTCTAATTAAGGAAATATTTCGATTCTTCGGACGATTTCTCGAAGACAAAATATGGAATTTTTATTTTTATAATCAAAAATTATTAAAAACTATTCTTTGACATATGATATAAATACCAATCGATAGAAAACGAACTACTTTATCATATATGACAACAATTTTATTAAGCTTAATACAAATTTCACAAGAAAATTCAATTCTTTTGATGAAAATTTTGTCTTCGAGTAATTTTTAAAGCGCTTGAAACTAATTTGTGAGATTCAAATTTTTCAAATACGTTATAAATTTAAATGGAATATTTATATTAATATTATTAATTACCTTTTGTTTAATTAAAACATATAAAAAAAATGATTTTTATAAATTAAAACAAAATTTTATTTTTGTAAACAAGTCTTTGTTTACATTTTTCCCAACGTATTTCAAAAATTTAAAAATTTCAAGTAGCAGTGGAATTACAGTTCTGTTTTTAAACATTCAACCTATCTGGAGAATCGCCCAATAACTTTATTATTTTTAGGTTACTTACAAATAAAATGAAATAAAAACCAAAAAAAAATCAGTAGATTAAGTCAAAAATTGCAAAAAACAAAATATTTCAATTCTTTTTTGCTTTTCGAAAGTGTTTTTTCTCGGTCTATTTCGAATCAACGCTTGGCACATCAAAGTCAAAAATGGACAATTCTCGAATATATTAAATGCCTAAAGTTCTGAGTAATCATAAATTATATTATGTAATTTTAGATCTTGTGGCATCGTCATTTTAAGCCTGCATACCCTAGTAACCAAAAGGTAGATCAATGTATTCCATGAGAATCTTCCATGGATGATACATATGTATTATCCATGTATTATCCATCGGAAGATGATGTCCTATGAAAATGGAAGATAAATGGACAATGCAATAAGACATCAATGTAATACATCAAAGGAATACAAATGGAAAACAAATGGATTACTTTTTTTTGGATAAAACACGTGCTAAATTCCACGTGTTCTTTTGTATTTTTCTTTTATTTGTGTAAAATATTGTAAAAGTATTAGTGTGTACTTAATTAAAGTACACTAACACTACGAAAAAGAACAAAAAGGACTTAATTTAATTAAGTCGCATACTGATGAACGCCCAAGACTCGCACACAAACCTGAGGAAGATAAATAATTAATTGAAAGACCCATACAAATTTAGAGAGAACTTATAATAGTGATTTCTTCGAGCAATTGTGAAGTATATGGCAAATGCCAAATTTAGAACAAATATTATTTTCCTGCAAAAATATATTTTTTTGATGATTTTTCATAGGATTTGAACCTAAGCAGGCTGGGGTAATACATCGATGGAACACTTTTGTTACATATTTGTAAAACAAATATTTTCCATATAATAAATAATGATACATTTGATCTTCCATCGACGTCGAAGGAAGATTATATGGAACATTTTGGTTACTAGGATAGTATCACATAAAATAAGAATTAAAGAAGAACATTAATAGAAATTAGATCTTACATTTAACGTTGAAAACAGAAATATGTTTGATTATAATAGGACGATTTACATTTCATTTAAACGCTTACAATAATTATTTGTTTCAAATCGTAAAAATGACATCATAATTAACTGACATCAACTGTGCCTTCGTTAATTCTCTTTGCATTAGTATTATGAAGATAGTCTAACATATTTTATGTCAACACATACATAATTGCATCACATCATTTTATTATTGATTATCATAAAAAAAAAATTTTCAATTCAAAAAGCATGTTCAGCTTGAGGAAATCATACTCTGTTTTATGAGAAATATTTATTTGATGTAAGTGATGAGAATAATGAAAAAAATCGAAATTTTTTTTCATCGCAAAAATAGACAGAACAATAAGACACTTAACTTATGAAAACAATAAATAATAACGACGCCAGACGAGCAGAGAAGGAAACAAAGTGAAAAGTGCCACACGAATATCATAAATGTTAAGGACATATGCAAATTCAATTTATTTTTGGAACTTTTATTTTGTAATAATTTATAATTTCTTCTTGTTACTTAGTAGCTACTCAAGATTGTGAAAACGCAACATTCAGAGTAGAGAAAATTTCGATCTTTTCTTTAAAAATTTATTATTTTTAACTAAGCCAATTTCAATAAATATTTAATTCAAATCGTTAAATCTAAATCTTGTTCTCTCAGAAAAAAATGCCAATTTTAACTTAAATCCATAAAAAATAAAAAATTCAGATTTTAAATCATTTAGTAATAGCATCAAAATTATGCTAAATGAAGAGAATTAAGTTTAAATTATAGCTTGATTTGAAAATTAATATTTCGTTTTCTAATCCCAATTCGATTCAACACATTTAAAAAGAATTGTGCATACCTTAAATCGCATGAAATCTTTTTAAATATTTACATTAGCATACTGTTGTACAAAATAAACTATTCACACGAAGAAACTCTTTCTCGATCTGATGCTTAAAATAAACATAACAAAAAATAAGCGAGAGAAAAAAGTAGGTCCATGATCTGTAAATCTTCGTTTCGCACATCATTAAAGTACTTTGCAATAAAAAAAAATAATAATAATAGAGAATATTTTAAATATTCGGATAGTGCGTATTTAAATTATTTTTTTAAGTATAACGCTATGATGCATTTTATTGCGTGTTGGAAATAATTTGCAGTGAGCAACGAGTTTCGAGATAAAACTTTGCCAGTTTATAGACATTTTAAATTTCCTGTTAAATTTTATCACGCAAAACCAACTTAAATTTCTTTAAATATATTCAAAAACATTCGATTTTAAGCTTATATTTTTAACACAATTGTTTACAAAGACATAATATTTGCGAATGTAGCCATTTACTTTTTTGCCTATCCAAACTTTCTTCTTTAAAATTAGAAGAATTAGCATAAATTAACGCGTTTTAACTTAACGTAAAATCCAGTGAAACTTTTATTTTCATTTCCTCTTTTTTTATAGTTTCACTATCTCACGATCAATAACCAAATTACTTATTTTTCATGTAATGCTTCAGATTTAATTTCATTTCATTTCTTTTGTTCACTTTGCTTCACCCGAAGCATAAAATGTTCCTCATTTATAAATAGAATCATTTTTCACGATGAGGTCATTCAAAAAGAGGAAATTTTTAACTTTTCATAAGAACAAAACATCTTAGTGTACATTCTCAAACGCGATTCAAAATCGAACTGTCGGTATGGTTGTGGGCATCGAGACTAGCTGTCGGGGCTGTTGCTCTTTTCACGAACGAACGTTATTGAAGTTTTTCGGCTTAATTTTCTTTCCTACACATATATTTTTCGTGACTTAACGAATTCTGCTTCAAATTGTTTTTCGTCTCTCTGGATTTATCTTGAAATGAAATCGAATATAAATCTACACTCTTTTAGACTTCATGACACATGTTTTTTCAATTAAGTAAAAGAATATTTTTGAGTTTTGTCATTTTAGATAATATTTTTCGTAAGAACCTCAAGAAATATAGACTTTTTAATGAAAAAAAAATGAATCGAATTCTTACGTTCTCTTTTACTCTCTCGCTGTATGTTACGAAAGCATGAGAAAATAAATTTTCCGATGAATCTAATGACTCTCCAAAAACACAGTCGGAAATGATAAACTGTGAATTCTGATATGCGTTATGCATAGCATTTCACTTAACAATATCTTGAATATATATGAATCAATATGAATCAAACAATTAGTTTAAGATTAAAACAGCATAATATATTACAATTAGTCAAATTGATAAAAAAATAAACCATAAAACACAACATAAAAACTGTTTCTGTGACCAAGTATTATTATTTTATTATATGCGCATTTAATGTCACTCCAGTAAGGATGCTGATTCATAGGGAATTTTGATTTTAAATTTTCACATACTTGAAATTAGTCGAATTTCATTCTTAAATAATTCTTTGACAAAATAAGCTGCAAAGTTGATTTAGAAAGAAAATTATAGGTTTTTGGATGCAATACTCAAAAAAAGTTGACATAATTGTATAAAGGTTATGACTTCCAAGAATTTAAACAAAAAACGATCCGATTAAAAACATTACTTCTGTAGATTCGTTCATTTAAGTTTATAGTGGAAAAGTATTAACGAGGACAAAACGAAGACTTTTTAACCATATGTGTTATATCTTTGAGATATGTTTATCAACTGATTTCATTCGGTCATATTTACTTTAATCTTCATTATACATCAATAATTAAAAATTAATTTTAGCGCAATAATAATTCTATAAGATTTTTATGAATTTTATGAAATATTTAAGCATCTGTAAGGCAGTATTTTCATTCTTGAATGACTAGTCACACATTTACTCAGAATTTCTCCTTTTCATTTGAGTTAAAAATAACTAATTTTCGAAAGAAAAGCGTTCGTTGAGAATTCAAAATACCTAACATACATATCTGATAAACAAACCTTTTCTTCTTGTTCCTTCATGATTATTTGATTTTTTAGATACCTAATCTTGTGCGCGTAAAAATATCAAACGTGATTAATTGTAAGAGCGTTCCTAAGAAATATTAAGCACTAATCTTTTATAGTTCATTAGGCATTAACACGGATTTGCTTCGTTTTTAAAACTTTGAATTGATAAATATTTGTTTAAATGCCAAGATTGAGTATTTTTTTAATGCTCCGCTTATTCTTTTGTGTTACAATTTTTTATTTCAAAAGTCAGTGACAACTGTTTATAACTGGACATATTTGCTTTTGACCAATGTCGAAACTTAAAAAAATAACAGCAAATAATCTTACCAAGCAGAAGGTAGAGAATTTCATTATCATAGTTTGTTCATTATTTTGTTTTGTCGAATTAAATTTCAAACTCTTAAACTCTTAAATTATCGCAATCCCAATAAATTTATAAAATTTAAAATATGCATATGTATTTCAAGGTTTAGTGATAAGCGTTGACCTTGAAAATTGTGTATTTGTTACTGAACTTTCTTTTCACATCGTATTTTTCTCTCGTTTAAATAAATGTGAGAGTAGATCACCCAAAAAATTACTTTATAAACATAACGCATAAGCTACATAAGCTAGAGATCAATATGTGTGTTATTTGATGTAAATAAGCATTGTTATAGAATCGATCAATTAAAGTTTTGTTTTATATTTTTCTTTCGTAAACAATTTACAATACATAACTTAATTTTGTCATGGACTAGCATAAAACGTTTTGAGGTCGTAATGATTTCAATTACCTATGATTTAATTTTTCAGTCCAAACAATTTAATAATTTAAATTGTTGTCAATTTACTTCTAGCGAATGAAAAATGTTTTTCATGTACATATGGACTGTAGACACATGAATGCAATAAAGTGAGAACATCACTGACTGGAAAGAAATTTTTTTAACTGCATGCTTAATTTGCATATTTGTGGCTTAAATTAAAAGTACATTGTATTTTTCAAGGTTTCTTTAGTTAAAAAAGTTTGCACCTTTTTTGCGCATAATTATAGCTAGGGCTAATAAAATTTTAAAATGATTTATGAATTGAATACTACAAAATGTTATAAAAATAAAATAAATTTACCAAAAGATTCAATAATAGTTTTTGTTTTAATTTTTAACACGAAGAAAAGAAAAAAAAGAGCAATTACGACATCAAAAATCACTTTTCCTTTCACCAAAAATGGTTTTCTTAATAGTAGCTTGAAAAAAAGAAAACAAAAGCTTAAGCAACATTGACGTTCACTCAAGCACAGTATATTGTAGAATTATTCAGCTATTACGATTATTATGACGTCACAAACTCAATATTATATTTCGATGTGAACTTGAAGACCATAGAAAATCTCCTGAAAATGTTATTTAATATGTATGGGCCAAGCCTTTAGTTCCTTTTTAAAAAATTTCGTTTCCTTACTATTTTTTGTTTTAATAAAAAAAAATAAAATCATTTCAATTTGTTCAGTTAACAACATTTGTTCGTGCATGGTTTTTGTTCTTTTCCACAATGATTCTACCATACTTAATAAGGAAGAAAATAAAAAAAAAATTGATCATGCGCTTTTCATTTAAAAATGAGCTTTTCTTTTAAACATACTTCCTTTGCAAAATTTAGATTTTATGCGAATTTTTAAGCAAAAAATAAATAAAGACAGAGAAAAATGGTCACATTAGCGAATTATCAGCCATTAGTTTATATTAGAAAAATTATATGAACCCAAAACTTATTGTATTAAGAAAATATCTTTTCTGTATTTCAGTAATGCGAATATTTATTTTTCGCCATTTTCTTCTTGATTGTTGTTGGATTGGAATTTCCCTTTGATGATGTCATGCCCTTCATTACAAAATTATTTCGAAATCTACAAACAATTATTGATTAGATTGAATGACTTAAGTACTTTATGCATACGTCACATCAGCTTTACAAACATTTTTATTTCCACATCAACCTCAATAACTTTTTCATATAGATTCTATTTTTAAGCATACTTTTTTATGTTTATAGCATGTGAATTTTAACATATCATTAAGGTGGCTCATGAGATTGTTATTAGAATTTTAAGTGTATTTATGCTTCTCTCGAGTATTTTTTTGTGCATATAAATTACGAGAAGAATTCGTTTTTTAAAATCTTTTTATGTCAATGTTTTGAACATTAAACTTATCTTTCATTTAATAATGATTATAATGCATACGACTTCCTTTGGAAACGTCTTAAAACTGAACCGGGTTCGGGTGAATGAATTTTGTGCATTACATGTAGGTAGATATAAAAAATGATAAGTAAACTAAAAAGATGATGCATTTACTTGACATAACACAAACGACTTAAATTGAAGCTGACTTTTTTTTATTGTTTAAAATGAGGTTTTTTATTATAGATACCTGTGAAGTTGATAAGACTTTAGATTATAAATGTTCACTATCAGTGCATGCATTTCAGCTTACAAATTTCATTTTAATTTTTTTCTCATCCTCTTTTTATTTCTTGTAGCAAGAATTGTTCTTTTCTTTTACGGATGGCATGACTCAATGAAGGAAAAATCGATAAGAAAAAAAAGAAGTTTTTCCGTATTTTGGCAGGTTTTAATTTTTGCGTTTTTATTTTATCTCATTCAGTTCATGTTATCGATCAATATTAAATATTTGACGACATTTTCAAGAACAAATGAGGTCACAAAAGTCTGAATTAAATGGAAAATTGACAATTTGGTGTACACATTCTAGAGAAATTTTTCATAATGTGAGGGAAAATTATTAAAATAATCGATAGCATTTGGAAAGAAAATGTTTTTTTGCCCATCCTTACATTTTGACGAATTAGAATTTATGTATAAATTTACTCACCACATTATGGCTTGCTCATATTTTAAATTATCCAATTATCCAAATAATTTTGCACTGCATTCATTGTGAAAACAGAAAACCTAATTAGAAATATTTTTTTCTTTATACTCTCTTTATAAGTATTTCTTGCAACCACTTTTGCACAAATTTAAAATTTATTCAATAATTTTTAAATATCAAATTCTCCACAACATGTCACATAAACATACACTTAAATGTTGTTTTGTGATATTTTTGATATCAATTGATATTTTTTTTCCACAAAAATTAAATAAAATTCATCAAAGAGAAAAAGTTTTTATTCGTCAACTTCATTTTTAATGCAGGAACTGAAATATAGAGGGAAGGGGACATACAACTAAATTTAAAATAGACCGTTACTCTTAACACATAATGTAGAACTGACTACGATCATTTATTCATTAACTTAATTCTCTTACTTTCTTTTCTTTTCTCCAGTCATAATTGTACCTAAATCTTTCAACGATGCAGTAGCTGATCCTCGCTGAGCAGGTTTTTGTTGACTTTCATGTGGCTTCCATCCAACGAAGTAAATGACTTGAAATGTGGCTTGAATACCTACCTCATTTGTTTCGGGATTCGTTTTTTTGTACATTTCATTATAAATTGCAGCTGATGAAAGAAGAACATCTCTGCTTAATGTCAATGGACGATTAAATGCTGCATTATTTTCAGCCATTCCCTTAAGATCATGTAGAAGTTCAAACATACTAGGATATCCAATAACCATCTCGTCAGTATCAATAGTTAACATAGTAAATCCTGAACTGTTTAGTAGCCCTCCTATGTCTCTGATTTGTGCAAAGGGCGAAATGTGCGGTGATAAACCACCTCTTCTCTCTTGTTCTGCTAAATGAAGTGCTGATCTTAGTTCATATAAAGTTTCTCCTCCAAACATTGATGCAAGAAAAACTCCATCAGACTTAAGGCAGTAATTAATTGATCTGAAAATTCCTGGAAGATCGTTGAACCAGTGAAATGTAAGATTAGATATTACAACATCCTGGCTATTCTCAGGCAACTAAAAGAGAAACTTGTAACTTGGAGCTGAGAAAATAAACAAAATTCTATTCCTTACATCCAGATATTCGCTTTTAAGAACATTTTTTTCAATATTAACTCCCGGAGTTGATTGAGTTTGATTCAGCATCGTCTCACTAATATCATAAATTTTAAGATTTTGTAATGTTTCAGCTAGAATATTTTTTGATAGATATCCCCTTCCTCCTCCTACAAAAAATCATTTAAATTATAATTATTAAATTTAAAAGCAAAAACAATTTCAACAAACCAAAATCAACACCATTTTTGAGCTCTTTCTTGATATCAAATAATCTATCTGACAATCGGAAACCAATTTCTTCTTTTATATAGTCATACAATTCAACATCTTCCCTAAAATAGTATAGTTTAGATATTTTAAAAATTGATTCATTATTTCTTCAAAACTTACTTCTTAGCCGCTCGCTCTTTTTGCAATCTTTTTGTATTAAATAAATCAAAAATATTGACATCACTTGATTGGCTGATGTTTCCAATAGGTCTTAAATATTTTGCAGTTCTACATATCGACCGACTATTTATTGCAATTCTGTTTAAAATCATTTTTTTTTTGTTCTCTATTTGATTTATAAATATTATCCCCCTAATGTTTGTACAAATTTTAAATGGAACTCTGAGCAATTTGTTGCTTAAAAGAGCTCAGTTTTCCATAGAAAGGGAATGAAAATAAGTTGCTTGGAAAAATCAGACGAAGTAAAGGAAAATTTCAATAATTGGTAAAAGTAGTGAAAATTTATTAAATTAAGAATAATAATGCATAAAAAATAAAATTTAAAAACATTTAAAAGTGTAAGAAATAATTTTTTTTATTAAAAAGCTATATAGTGTGAAATAAATGATTTAAAAAAAATTCAAGTTTAAAAATGGAAAAATGAAAAATCGATTTATAAAAAAAGGATTTTTCCTCATAGAAATTGTGTGGCTATTTTTTTCCTGAAATTATTGCATGAAGAGAGTATTTCCATTTTTGTGTTTAAATAACGATGCATTCTAGTGTTTTTAATGAAATTAATAATTAATAAGCATTTAAAGATCGTAAAAGAAATTTTTACTAGTTACTGATTATTTGGAAACGAGAAAATTTCTGCAGAAATGAAATTACATTTTTGGATTATTCATGATTTTCTCCCCATTTTTTTTTTTTTTTTTTATTGAATGGGGTATTTTTCTTTTCTTTTTTCTCGGCATATTATGTATCGAGCAAGCATGAGAGAGTATTAGGGGGTTGAAGAAAAAAAAATCAATGAAAACATTTTTTTCGCTGACTGGCTGTGTGTGCTACGTACGTGAAATTCGTTGCACAAGGAAAACATTCTCGCGAAATTTTTATGTCTTATCAAGTCAAATGAATTCCACTCTTTCTTTTCACACACCCTTTTACAAAAAAGAACTAACTTAGAACTATTTTTATGATACTTTTCATTTATTTAATAAAATGATATACCAAAGGAGTTTTCAAGCATACATAGAAAGCAAATATTACCAACCTTTTATTTAATGATGCTAGCAAAAGTTGCTCCATTCTTTAATGAAAAACTGAAAAAACCAATATTAATAATGAGCAAGATGTGATATACATGCTCATACTACTTCCCAAGAGTGCAGTTTCTTTTTATAAAACTTAAAGATAGGATCTTGATGATATTAATAACTTTTCTTTTATTCTAATTGAAGAACAAGTGAAACGGCTCCTTCAAGTATTTTTCTAAAGTGCTCAAGATTCCATTAAGTAGTGTGAATATTACAACAGCAGAAAGAAAAAGATCAATAGAAATATATTTTGCTGAACTGCTTTTTCTCGTTTAATTGAAGAAAGAACAAAAAAATATATAAAAGCTTTTTAACTTCTAGCATCATGCTGAATCATGATATATTCCAAGTATATTGTTGATGACATTTTTTCATTAAAATAAATATTGAGAGTATTAAAGAGAGAAATCTGGATTTTCTTAGTTCACGTTTGTTGCATGTAAATTAGTATTTACAAAGACTGTCCAAATTACTTGTTTAATATATATGACGACGCGAGTAAACTAAAACAATTCTTCAGGCTTACTGGTCTAAAATTTCCATAAATAACCGACAACAAAATAAAATTCATTGTACTGACATTTGTTATGTAATTTGAAACTGACTTTTGCCTTCTGTCTACGATATTATCTTTTTCGCCTTATATCCTCTGCCTCTTACTCTATTCTTTGCGGTGTTTTTTTTTTATTTCTAGTGGTAAAATAAATACGAAATCCTCAATGAATATATTTCTGTTTTAACACAAACGATACAAAAAATGATGATAGCTTAAGCTCTAATTCATGATGTGTCCACAGGCGCTCGTTTCGTATTTAGCAGATTACTGTTTACAGTGTTCATTTTTATTGGATTTTGAATTGTCAAACTTTTTCTTTCTCAACTTGTGTAGCTTTCTCATTTTTTGTAAAGGAAAAATAGGTTTTTTTGTACAGAAGCTGCAATATCATGTAATATACTACATTTCGTAGAGATGAAAACTTATATGATAGCATTTCTATTATGCTACCCATTTATGAAGTATCTTCAATGCTACGAATGCTACAAAATCAAAATTGAAGAAAAAACATCCAAATTCTGAAAATTAGTTTCAATATTTTAAAAATTGGAATAATTAAACAATCATAGCTTCATATAGCAAATTGTATTCCAACTCGTCAAAAATTCTCTCTAAAGAAGATTCTATTTGTTTTGTGTTGCAAAAAAGTTTTTAATAAACATGATTCGAATGTTGAAAATAAGAACATAGAACAAAAACTTGATGAATGAGATTTTCAGTCACATAATTACTCATAAAATGCGTTCAGAGTTGAAAATGTGCATAATAAATTCAATTAAAAATCCCTCTTTTTTGGTGCATTGAATATGTTGAGTGAGATTGCGAATGGGCTGATAAATTGAAATTAAATGAAATGAAGCAATTTAAATAAATTTGTGGAAGTGGATTAAGAGATTGGAATTAAATGGAAATAAGAGCATTTATTTATTTGTGCATTGATGACATGTTTATAAAAACAAATAATCAACAAATTTTATACATATATTTTTGTTCTTATTACTTTAAAAAAGGACTTTTCTGTAAAACAAAGGACTCTTTTTGTAATGAGTGAACTTACCAAGAATCACAATTAAAAAATACCAAGAAAGTATATTGCTTAAGAAATAAAGAAAACTAATTCAAAGTGGTACGATTGTGCGCATCAAAGTGGATTAAAATCCAAAATATTCTCCGTGCAAAAGGCACTTATAAACGTATTATGGATGTGTATCAATCTGGTTTAGACAATGATGTATCCGAAATATGTCTAGGTAATAAAACTTCATTAAATTTTGCTTTATTTATATGTTACTATTCATTAGTCAATATTTTTTGAATTATATCCATGCTCTATTTAATGAATAGCCAGCAAAACATTGTTAAATTGTACGTTTATATGCTAATTCCTCGCATAAAATATGATTTGACACTAAGCATTTGCCAAATATGTTTTTAATATTCACACTGATTTATTTTCTATATGCTTCTTCATTCGATCAGAATCACCCATCACACATTTAGATTTTATATTAATCTTTTTGCATTATTTTTAATCTATCACATGTCTTGTGTATGTGTATGTCTTGTTTGCTATTATAAATTAAGCATGTAAATGAATCAAATTAAATTAAAATTTTTCATTATGCGTAAATCTGTTAAAGTCTATCTGCTGCCATTTATTCCCGATTGTTATATTTTTAAGAACATTTTGTGTCATTTTATGCGATGATATGTTTTAAATTACATTCCCAACCATCATTAGTGAGATGTTAGTAAAGCACCAAATCAGGCATTTTGAGCTCATCGAAACTAATGATACTGTCAAGAGCCGTCATTCAAATTTAAAAAAAATAAAGCAATAATAACAAAGGAAAATTAACCATGATGGGGGGGGGGGGGAGGGGGTTGAAAAAAATGAAACAATATGCATGGCGCCGTATTTAAATCAGAAATTCCTATTTTGGCGCCTTTCAGTCAAACGGAACTATTGATTTAATATATAGAACGCAAATGAAACGGAAGTTAGTCACTATTAACCGCTTTAAGACTAAACATTATATGTTGTGTTATTTCTTTCGATTTTTTTGTTATTGTTTTAAGTATTTTCACTTTAGAAAACTTTTGCTTCGTAGAAGAAATTTAGTTGAAATGAACAGTTTTCAAATTGCTTTTTTAAGTTCTAGAATGAAGTGATTTTTAATGACCTTGTTCCTTATTTATTTTCCCAAAAGAAAATGGTTTATTAAGTTATGAAAACCCAAATTATCATCTCGATCCGAAGTCAATAAAACACAATCAAAACTTATTTGAGGAAATAATGTCTGAATCAAGGCAACGTAGTGGAAGCGAAACAAAAGTCATAATGAATAATAGAAAAAGCTATGCTTGCTTAGATATTGGATCGATGGGAGTTGATCTAAAAGAAAATTTTGAGTAAGTTGATTTTTTTTTAATTTAATAATATTTGAACGTTTGACAAATATGAACTTCCACAGGAAAAGTAAAATTCTCACCGACACAAATCAATATCCAGATAATAAACTTACAGAACAGAAAACAACAAGTGAGGGTTGCGGAGGTGAAAAAAGCGATGAAACGTGTGAAAAGTATGTGATAGAAAAGCCAGAAGGAGTAAAAGATGAATACGAAGAGGAGGGCGATGATAAAAGAGGCGATAGAGAAAAGGTTAAAAGTGTTGATAAGAAAAATGGCAGTGAAAAATTACCTCCTGGTTGGGAACGTCATGAAGGTATAAGAAACATTTATTATATTGGACATTTTCGAAGGAAAACATTAATTTTAATTTCTTCTCTCACACTACTTTTTTATCTGATAGATAACGGTGGATGCTATTTTTGGCACATTAAATCTGGCACAATTCAACGTGAAATGCCAGTTTGGCCCAAGGAGCTAAAAACTCCACTTATTCCACCTACAAGGTACAAAAATTTCTATTATATAAATAGAACATCAATTTAAAAAAATGTATTTATTCATTAGTCCAATACCAAGCTCAGATGGTAATAATCCATTTTCTGTGGCATTCAACTCGCTTTATAATTATGGAAACTCTGATTCAAATCATAACGGTGGCACAGTGTTGAATGGAAGCTCTAATATTGGTAATAATGCAGTTAATTCACAAACATCAGTTGCGCGTAGTACGTCCAGTCATACATTAGATTTAGATCAGGATAATAGAAAGAGAAAGGATTTGGAATATAAGTAAATACCAAAAATTTTATTCTATTACCTATTTATGCAAACCTTATTTTAATTATTTAAGGCGCCGCAGTTATCCACTTAAATCAGAATCAGACAACAAGCCTATTCGATTCGCTGTGCGATCATTAGGTTGGGTCGAAATAGCAGAAGAAGATTTAACACCAGAGCGCTCATCAAAAGCTGTAAATAAATGCATTCTTGATTTATCATTTGGCAAAAATGATTTGCTTGATGTGGTTGGACGGTGGGGTGATGTAAGTTTAATAAGTTTTAATATAATTTTTTTAAATAGATTTTATTTTAGGTATTTTTAAATGAATTTTATTACATTTTTATAGGGAAAAGACTTATTTTTGGATCTAGATGAAGGTGCATTAAAATTAATTGATCCCGAAAACTTAACTGTTTTGAATACTCAGCCAATTCACACAATACGAGTGTGGGGTGTTGGTCGAGACAATGGAAGGTAATATATTTTAAAGCAATACATTTCACTCTCATGTGTTGTGCTTGATTTTTTTAAAAGGATGTTAACAAAAACTGAAAAAGCTTTCTATCTGTAGAATTCAATTTTTTAACTAGTGTTCATTTCATTAACATTTTTTCCCCTAAAATATTTTTTACACCCAAACATGCTCACAGAGAACGGTAAGTCTCATGTTTTGACTAGTTTGAGATATCATTAAGATTTGATTAGAGAATTCACAAGACTTTCTTTTTGACTTTTTCTTATTATATTTCAGTGATTTCGCATATGTTGCTCGTGATCGCTTAACTCGAGTACACATGTGTCATGTTTTTCGATGTGAAACGGCGGCGCGAACAATTGCCAACACGTTAAGGTTTGAATTGATATTCAAATATTCTCAACTACACTGACCTTTTTACGTTTGTCTTTTAAGGGACATTTGCAAAAAAATCATGATTGAACGTTCTGTGCAATTGGATGTGGCAAACGGTGGTCCTAATGCATCAAAAAGAGCAGTGCGACCTACAGATTTACCAACTGAAAATCGACAACGTCGAATGAGACATGGTAAAAAACTATTTATTCCTTATTGTAAAAATAATAAATTTCAATTTATTTGTTTAAATTTAAAGCACAATCTTTTCCAACGCCAATGGAAGAGCCAAAGAAAGTACTTAGGGCGCAGTATTTAGGTTTTACAGAGGTGCAGCATGCTGTAGGAATGACAGTACTTAATGATGCAATTGAGAAAATTATCTCAGAAGTACCTTCTGAGAATTGGCTCAGTGCAAATGTGTCTATATCTCCAAGTGTAATTGCAATACGACCGACTGGGGTAATTTAAAAAAAAATGAAAATGAATCGTACGGAAGTTTAATTGATTTTTTCATAAAAACTTTTATTTCTTTTATTCAGGACGATGACCAGACCATTGTAGAAGCTCGTGTACGATATTTGAGCTTCTTAGGAATTGGAAAAAATGTTAAAAATTGCGCTTTCATTATTCATACAGCACAGGATAAATATATATGCCATGCTTTTCGATGTGAACCGAGTAGTGGTGCTTTATGTAAAACAATAGAAGCTGCTTGTAAAGTAAGTTAATTTTTTTTGAACTCGCACAAACAATCTAATAAATTAATTTGATATTACTCCATTTCTGGTTCATCTTTTTTAGCTTCGATATCAAAAGTGTTTAGATGCACATCCTGCAAACAGTAGAACCTCAGCTGACTCGCAATCGCCAAATTCTAAAGGTATTGGCGAAACATTAAAAAACATCATGAACACATTATCGTTTAAAAAAGATGGCTCAAGCTCTTGAAAGTTTCATAGAAGCTTTTAATAAACTCCTCTTTTCACAACATTGACTGTCTCATAATTCTTGCTTATTTTATTTTCAATTTTTAATTATTTATCTGAATAAATGATGTTTAGATTAAACCGTTAAGAATGTCAGTGCAATATTCAAAGGAATCGTAACATTTACCAAAGATTATGTAAGATGAATTTAGTATTATTTATTAATTAAATTAATTTTAGATCTTTAAATTTTGTTTAATTGCTTTATATTCCGTGTAACTGTCTATGACTATAAAACATAATACAGAAAAAATTATCAAATCATTACGAGATAGAACATAAAAAAAAAATTAATGTCATATAAGATAAAAAGAAAAAAAAGCTGTTCAATTAACATTGCCATATTAAGCCTGATGCATTATAGACAAAAAAAAACGAATTAAAACCACCAAATATCTGAAAGAAAAGAAAATTTGGTAATCAAGTCTTTAAGAGAAACTTAATCTATCAAAGTATTAAAAAAAAAAGAATTACTTTATGTGAAAGCAGCTTGTTTATTAGAATATCAAATGTGCATTTATTCAACAAATCTTATAATTGGAAGAAGATATGTATATCAGCATCAATTTTTGAACAACTCTCATATACTCAAAAAGACTTGAATACGAAAATTTTCAATGTTTGATATATTCTCAACACTTATCAGTATCCATTAGAACTATAGATTAATAAATTATTTACTTTAATTAATTTCTATATATGATTGTTTAGTTCAAATCTATGTTATTATCACACTCTACATATACTCTCTTTTACTTTTATATAAGTGAAATAAAATTATCATCATTATTAAGCAACATATTTAATAAAAACATTTCCAAGACTCATTCTAGTTTTTCATGTAAAATATATTCGTTCATTAACTTTAGTTCAGATATGTATGTGCTCTAATTTATTTTCGATCGACTTTTTTTTCCAATAATGATCTGAACTCTAATGATCTTCATTCTATCATTATGAAAACCATTTACGTATTAAATTGATGATATTATTATGCAGACCTAGAAAAAAGGTTGCTTTAAAAATGCTAAAAAGAAAGAGGAGAAAAAAAACCTCGATGATAAAATTGATGATAATGGGAAACATTATAAATATATTAAAAGATGAGAAAAGTATGTATTTATTCGTAAGAAGCTAATAATTGTATTTTTTTAAGAAAAGTGAAAAAGAGGACGAAAAAAAAAATCAAGATTGGACAGTGTTTTCTCCTTTTATATACCACATAATTTTTCGTAATCATAAAATAATTGCAAAAACACGAGCCTAGTTTATACAAAAATATTGAAATTTAAAAGAATTTTAATTTCCATTTTGAATGATTATTAATAATTGTTGGAGACTGATGATGGAAAATTTCTCACGTTTATTTGCCATCTCATTATGATCTCAAAACAATAAAAACAAATATAGATAAAAAATAAATTTGATCCACCAACTTCATGATCCTGAAAATAAAATTGCATATTAATTAAATAAATGTATTTACGAGCTTTTAAATAATGCAGTGGGAGTAGATAAAAATTCTTATATTGTTATTAAATACTAGCTTCTTTCACATTCCAAGGATCTATATCTTTTTTTATCCATCTCTCGCTGCAGTCGAATCAAATGCGTAATTGTTCTGCAAAATGTGGTAAATTTAAACAAAAAAAAAAACCCATTTAAAATACATTTTTCATTATGCCTTTTATGCATTCACAATTTAAATAATCCCAGTGGCTAAACAACCATTACAGCTATTTTCATAATTAAGTAAGAAAATTCAAGTAAAAAATTATGCAAAAATGGATTTTTAACAATTGCCTTACATTATATCATAAAATTAACCAAATTCAGCTCAATTCATACAATTAATGAATTATAATTTGACAGTATTGAAAAATATTATCGAGAACACTTGTCTAGTTACTGGGAATTGAAGAAACAAACAGCTCATTTCATATCACAATGAAAAAAAAAATAACTATAGTTTCTTTTTTCACCAAAATTCGTGTCCCTAAAAATGTAAGAAGCCTTAATTTATTCAATAACTACATATATAATTATATAAACACACACCATCTCTCTTAGCCATTGATACAAATTTTAAGGCCGCGCATAAATAAGCAAAAGATCAAAAAAATGCTTGTAAGTTATTAATGAAAAACGCTTGAGTGATGAAAATAAAATATACAGCAAAAAAAAACACTATTATTGGCAATTTTGAGATTTGATGAAATTCATTAATTTTTTCAGCAGATCACAAAGTTCTTTATATTAAGAAATGGACATAAGCACATTAATTGTTTTTGTTTTCACTAGAGAAATCAATGATGATATTAAATGGTATAAAAATTATAACATTAGATGAAATGAAAAAAAAAAATCACGAATTAAGAAATCAAGATGTAAAACCTTTTGCATGATGAAAAAAAAATTAAAAATTTATACTTTTGAAATGAGATGATTTATAAAAGGCAGGAAATCCAAAGAATTACATTAGCAATATGAAGTAATCATTAACAAGGCATTTGCTACGCAAAAAAGTGATAATTTATACTTTACTAATTACCTTTTTTGAAGAAGTTTTTCTTTCCTTTTTATTCTGAGTAATTCGGGTTTCGAAAGAAATGAATTTTGTTTTAAGCTGAAACTTTATAGTTTCGTGAAATAATTCAAATACGAATTTCAGAATAATAAAGGCAACGAAATGTATATTAAAGAAAGTTAAGCTTTAAAAAACAGATGAAAAGAAGAAGAAAGTTTTGAGTTTTGCTGTCCATTTAAAAATATATATAAATATATTCCAAGTGTGGAGTATTTAATAAAATTAATAATTCTGATTTTCGAGGCGATATAAAACGGAATAAGAATCAATTTTATAACAAAGGATGCAAAAATGTTGTAATGCGTTCGGTTTTTGGATGAAACATTATGTATAAAAAGTCAAATAAAAGTTATAATTTTGCAAAGAAATTTTTGTTTTTTTTTCCATAAAATAAAATAGCTTTCAGCATCTTGTTTGGACAAAGAAACTGTTCTCCTAACCTTTTTATATTCACACCGTTTTCACGTGTGAATCTATTGGTTTTGTTCAGATTGAAAAATCAGTTTTTAGAATTTTGTGAGGATATGGAGCAAAATAGCTTAAAATGTTCGGAGATGAAAAGTTTGTGCCTTGAATTTCACATCTTTTGCAAAAAACAGATTTCAAATTGTTTATGCTTTATGTAAGCAAGCAAACAAGCAAACAAGCAAGTTAATCAGCAAGAAATTTCAATAACGAGACATCGTAGAGACTAAATCCAAAAAAATTTATACCTTTAAGTAACATTGCATTGTTGCATTGAAAAGTTCCATAAACTCTAATATTTTATTTGAAATATTCAAAAAAAATTTCTGAATAAAAAAATATCTTGTAAAATTGTTGATTATATTTTTAAACGTTAGTAAATGCTACAAAAGGTTCAACAAATTTAAAATTTCGATAGTAAAATTAATAATGATTAACCATTAATTTAATAATTATTTCAAACCTATTAAACATCCAAAAAATATTAAAATAGTAAATACATTTCAATTTGAAATGCTAGAAAAATAAATTCGGCCTGTTTCACTAAAGTGGATTATCCTCGATTTCGGAATATCTACTTCAGTTTTTTGGAAATATCTCCAGATGCTTAAGGTTTTTAAGAGATCTAATGTGTGATCTAGTAAGAGTACTTTGCTACTTAAATTAACATATACTTAGAATTTTTATATCTTCATTAGTTTGAGAATTAAAGCAAAAATCGAAGTTAATCTACAAGATTTGGCTAGAAAATTGAATTCACTTTTTTCTTCGAGGGTTTATACAAATGGATTGAAACTTTGCATTAATATTCTAGTGCTTAAAACAAATAAAAATAAAACATCCTTAAAATTTTTTTGAGCAAAGAACCAAGTAGGAAATACATTTTCAATTTTGGACTAGGTGCGACCCTTGTTAAAATCAATTTTGTCACTTTTTTCTTCGAGGGTTTATACAAATGGATTGAAACTTTGCATTAATATTCTAGTGCTTAAAACAAATACAAATAAAACATCCTTAAAATTTTTTTGAGCAAAGAACCAAGTAAGAAATACATTTTTAATTTTGGACTAGGGGCGACCCTAGTCAAAATCAATTTTGTCACTTTTTTCTTCGAGGGTTTATACAAATGGATTAAAACTTTGCATAAATATTCTAGTGCTTAAAACAAATACAAATAAAACATCCTTAAAATTTTTTTGAGCAAAGAACCAAGTAAGAAATACATTTTTAATTTTGGACTAGGTGCGACCCTAGTCAAAATCAATTTTGTCATTTTTTTCTTCGAGGGTTTATACAAATGGATTGAAACTTTGCATAAATATTCTAGTGCTTAAAACAAATACAAATAAAACATCCAAAAATTTTTTTGAGCAAAGAACCAAGTAGGAAATACATTTTTAATTTTGGACTAGGGGCGACCCTAGTCAAAATCAATTTTGTCACTTTTTTCTTCGAGGGTTTATACAAATGGATTAAAACTTTGCATAAATATTCAAGTGCTTAAAACAAATACAAATAAAATATCCTAAAATTTTTTTGAGTAAAGAACCAAGTAGGAAATACATTTTCAATTTTGGACTAGATGCGACCCTAGTCAAAATCGATTTTGTCACTTTTTTCTTCGAGGGTTTATACAAATGGATTGAAACTTTGCATTAATATTCTAGTGCTTAAAACAAATAAAAATAAAACATCCTTAAAATTTTTTTTAACAAAGAACCAAGTAAGAAATACATTTTTAAATATGAACTTGGGACAGGTCAAAATTAATTTTGTCAGTTTTTTCTTCGAAGGTTTATACAAATGGATTAAAACTTTGCATAAATATTCTAGTGCTTAAAGCAAATACAAATAAAACATCCTTAAAATTTTTTTGAGCAAAGAACCAAGTAAGAAATACATTTTTAATT